AATAATTCAGGGAAGGCTTCATACCAATTCAAGGATCCACGCAGGCTTGCGAAACACCAAATGTATGTGAACGATTTCAACATATTCGATGATTGCCCGTAGTGTGCCGTAGTAAGGAATTTTCGGGCTTTTGGTTTAGCTGTGACGACCTCGTTGCATCGGATCATTCTCACATCTCATACTGTTGTGACTTTTCTCAATTGATCACTAAGGCACACTATCTATTTGAAGTTTCTTTTTAGCCAAAAGCCCTTGAGAGTTGATACCGAGACCATCTTGTATCTTGCCCTATGGCCCCTCTTCGTCTCCAGTCAATCTTTTGCCCCTGGTTCTATTGTGCTCTCTTGCTTTCATTGCGCGCAGGTCATTTGTCGCTGGCGATAGTTACTAATTGATTGTGCTTGAGTAGTTGACACTCTCTAAGATTGCTACAGTGCACATTCAACTTTACAGATTGCCTTGATTGGCCTTTTCATTCACTACATACGAATCACCTTCGAGCTTTGATATGCGAAAGTATACATCGGTCCAATAGATATTCAATCCCTTCTTTATCTTCATTAACGGTTCCCAGTGAACCGAAATTACGCTCTTTAGCAATCTTGTATTCCTTCTAACATCAAGGTTCGTCCTCAACATCTTTCAAAAAGGAAAAGAAAAGAAAATCGGCACGTAAACTCAATCGCCGGCTGAAAATTTCATTGTGGCGCGGCATATCCTAGGAAAAGCTATTGGTTATTTGCAGGGTGGTGGGAAAAGAAACCTATTCAAGTGCAAAAATTATAATCTCAACGGAACGGCTTCATGCAGATACGAACGAAATAAATACACGGAAGAACCCGAGTGATTGGATATTGGTCCGAATTTGCGGATACCTCAATATCATTTCACCATTGGTAGTACGAACGGTTTAATATCTCTATCAGATGAGTCAACAACAATGGGATGCGCCGACAAGGGGTGGATCGGTGAAGAGGGCAAGAGAAAGAGCGGCAGCAGGTAGGCCTACCGAATCGATACCTGCACCAAGACCTTATGATCCTTCATCGCCGAGCAATATTCCAAGTCCACCACGAGCAAAATTTCAAAATCCACCAGGAATGTTCAAGAATGGTGGTCAGAGTGCAGTTGGCCTGGCGATTTCTCGACCTACCCAAGTACCACAATGGCCATTAATGGGAACAAATCCTGGTCCAGATTCTCAGCAGTATCAACCTCCTCCTAATCGCGGCCCACCTCCTCAGAGACCACCGAGACCTAGTCATGTACCTTCAATCCTTGATTCGTCCAGAATACAAGATATTACCCCAACCTTTCAATACCAACCACAACCACCTCCACAACCACAAAATTTACACCCACCACCACAAACACGTGGCTCGCCACGAAATCGAGACGATGAATTTGATCAAAATTACCAATCATTACAATCGCCCCTGTCATCATCACGTCCTTCGACTGTTTCATCAGTTGGTACAATACCCGACTTTCCTGTTCCCGTACCAGCCATCCCACAATCGGCAAGGAGAAGTGCTAATCTAGGACCACCACCAACTTCCCGAAGAGGCGCCTCGTCATATTATTCCCAAGCTTCTTTCGTCTCCCCAATCCCGGAGGTGTCAGAGGGCATGGGCCTCAGTCCACGAACACTCCCAGGTTCACATAGTTCATATGCATCAAGTGCAGCTATACCCTCGAGTTGGGGACCAGAATCGCCTGGCTATTATCGATCGGATGAGGATGATGACGATTATGAAGATGATAGAAGGTTCGATGCAGTATCAGAAGGTCGGGAATCTCGAGGATCGGATGACAACGACGATCGAGGATTGATTAGAAGTGCTAGTATTGGCAAGCGAGCGAGGCCGTCCATGATCGTGACCCGATCCTCAGGTCAAATTGACCCAGCACGACTTGCTGCAATGCCTATGCCGCCATCCGACAACAAGAGACTGGGCCCAACACCATTACAAAAATCAATGCTCAGTCCCGCAGAAGCTCAAAGATCAACACAATGGCCAATGCCAGGAAATCCAAATTCACCTTTAGCTAGTGGCACTGGCCTTATTGATCCTACCCCAACAAGCTCTGACGAATCAGTTCCAACCGTCGCTATGGCTGTAACGACTGATCTACCTTCACGAGATGGAACAAAGAGCCCGGGTGCAAGCGCTATGCTCGGGGCATATCAAGCAGCAAGTGCATTACCTAGTGACTCAATTAGGACTAAGTCGCCCTTTGCAAACGAGGGAGGACCTTTTAGCAGGCTATCAGCAATCCGTCGACCACCACGTCTCAATATTGATGCGGTAAGGGATGCAGAGGCAAGAGGTAGTTTGACAAGTTTACCGGATCTAATTAGGAGAGCAACAAGATTGGCGTCAATGATGGATCGCGGTAAAAGACCAGGAAGCCGAATGGGTCTTGATGATTTTCCAAGTGACAGAGACTTTCCCAGCGAGAAAGAAATTGAACGTAAGTGGTGATCGTGCCTCTATTACAATCCAAGCTCTAACATATCTCAGTTTCTCCCAACTATGACAGACGAGGTTCTACCCTCTCCGGAATGTTATCAGCATTTCCACCTCCCGGTCGTGAAACACCTGCCCGCGATGCTCCACGACCTTTATCGATGTGGCCAGAATACGATCCAAATGATCCGAAATCTGTCGCACCTGGAAAGAAACAAAGAAAGTGCTGTGGTTTACCTTGCTGGGGGTTCATTGTCGTTTTAATAATTCTACTCATAATAATTGCGGCCGCCGTCGTCGTACCTCTTAAATTTCTCGTAATTGACAAACCCTCCACAAGTACCACTGCAACCGCAACTACTGTACAAAGCTGTACTGCAAACACTTCGACTGCTTGTAAGAACGGCGGCACCTCTTTCGTTGACAATGGTATTTGTACTTGTTTGTGCATAGATGGATTTACAGGTAGCACATGCGCAGTCTCAGGATCTGCGGGCTGCACAACAACGTCATCAAGCACTACCACAAACACTACCATTGGCGACTCGATACCCCGACTCATTTCGGCTGCTCAAACCAACTTTTCGATCCCCTTGTTTGAAAACACAATTCTAGCAAGATTCAACAAAGGAAATTTGAGTTGTGCGTCGGAAAATTCTCTAGTCACTTTTGATGGAAGTGATGAAAGAATGGGAGATGCGAGTGCCGAAGTGACGTCTACCACAGACAAGAAGGTGAAGAAGAATGCGCAGCCAGACCCCACAGATGTTGAGATTCGAGCAATTGCAAGTCCAGACTCCACTTTCATATCAACAAATATCATCTCAGTAGACTCTTCCACTACTCAAGCAACACCTACTTCCTCTCAATCTCAGGCCACTCAAACTGTATCAGCAGCATCGGCCTCTGTTGATTCACCTTCTACAACTTCCTCTCCAACCACAACAGGAACTGCATCCGTAACTTTGACAACCTCAACTATTGACCCAACAGCCGTCTTCACTATTACCGAGGAGGTGCTAGATTTTGCAAGAGTCACAGTCCTTTTTGTTCTGCAGCAAGAGAACTTGGATAATGCAGTATCCGCACAAGGAGAATTGCAAAAGTTTTTTAATCAACAAAGCTCCGAGAACTTATCTGCAATGAATGTTTCGATGGGAGGCGGTAATACTGTTAATTTGGTGGAATTCAAAGTAGATCTGGGTAATGGAACAGTGGGTCAAAAGAACACGGTCTCAAAATAATTGTGCTTAGCTGGTTGTTCGATCAGATTCAAAGTACAAAGGCAGTGACTCGGGGAGGTGACAGGTTATGGGGTTAGAAGGAAGGTAACGAAGTTTTGTATATCAACTGTAGCGATTAGTAACTGCTCTGCTTTTATGGATACCCAAAATGCGGAGATAGTGTGGGTGGATAACGAGGAATTTGTACATAGAATCGAACATCTTTTTTCGAAAACTCTTTCGTTAACTACGGTTTCTTTATGGCTTGTATGAATATAATGTCTCTTGTATTTTACTTTCTTTTTCAAACTTCTATTTCGATGCAAAGTGGGTCTGATTCGAGAGATGGGTTTCATTGGAGAAGGATTTGTGGTCGTGTTCTCTGAGCAGATCCGACCTTTAAGAGAGGTTTCCTAGCCTTTTCTATACTCATTTTAGGCGATCTTTGGGTGCTCGTGATTTGGTATTGTGTGTCTGAGCGTGAACGTGAAAGGGAACAAGGGCGTCATGCAGAAGAAGAAATGGGGAAATTGTGAACTTGTGAAGCCGGATGGGCGGCATAATGGCATACAGAGTGAAGACGAGGTGACTGAAAGACTACATATAGCGTGGGTGGGACGCCGATTTTGATGACTGAGAGAGGAGAGGAGTGGAAGGGAAGAAAAGGAAATAAAGATGGGAGGGCTTTCTTGGAACTATTTCAAGGATGTAGTAGTGCTAGCGAAGTGGAAATTGGTGGAGGAGAGAGAGAGAAGCGAGCAGGTGATGAAATATAGATGTTGATGAAAAGAAATTGATACCCTTACTTTAGCTATCTACTTCAATGTTTCATGCGTTCTTGTGAGGAAATCAGTAGCTTTCTATTTGCTATGAAAAAGTCGTGATTGCCGAGTGAAGTGTTGGAGAATTTATGATTAGATTTCTACCTGTTCTGCCACTGTAGACATGCAGTTGTATATAGGGGAGTGATATGATCTCGTATTCTTGCTGAAATTTAGCTAAGGATGGCAGATCAAGTTTGAACCTTTTGCCTGGGGAACGAAAAAGTGGAAATTTCAGGTATTAATTGGAAGGTGTTCACTAGAGCGGGGCAGTCCCTCTGTTCTGTTAGAAGATCCATTTGAAGTCATACAGCCTTCTCATATTCACTGACCGGAATTTAAGAAAACCAAAGAATCAAACAAAAGACCGAGCTCCAGCTGCCGTAGCGTACATGTTATAAGCTCCTACCAACCCTCGATAATCCCATCACAAACACTTTTTTTTCAGAACCCCTACACACAGTACATTCCACAAAACAGTCAAAATGTCTTTCCACGGTAGGAACTCATCCTCACACAAGGAGCCACAAGCTGATGGCAGTCAAGCCAAAGACACCAACCTCGACCAAGCATCATCTGGACCGTCAGTGATGATGGGCGAAGAATCAAAGGACAAAAACCCGACCGAAGGTAAACCAGCCAAGAAAAAGAGAGAACGAAAGCATCGTCAAGGATTTTACAATCGTGATCGGAGAATATATGGAGTTCAGCGTGCGTTTGGATTCTGGGAAGCTCCAGGTCGCGAAGGCGCAGAGCAAGATGCAGCAAGTATGCAATCCATTTTTAACATGAATTCTATTCCATACTGATGAAAGACTGCTAATTGAACAAAGATGAATCCAATTATGAATAGACATCCAATTCCGAATGGGATTCCGATGCACCATACCCTCCTCCACAGATTAAGAATTGCAACCTCCGCGACTACAACATCCCTGTCAATGATAAGACTCCCATGGAAAATCTCGGACTAGAGAAATTCATACTTACAGCGACTAAAGATATCCTTACAAGCTCATGCATTTCTTGGTTGCGAAAATATCATCCTAATTTGGTAGCTAAGGAAGGATGGGGTGATCGCGGAAAAAGTTCTTTGGAGCTGTACCATGAAATGTTCGAATCTTCGGCTGAGATAAAAGATAACACTTTACAACTCGTCGAAGGAGAGACTGCAGAAACCTTCCTCACACTTCTCAAGAAAGTGCGACAGATTAGACACTGTGTCTTTCGTCGCGGCCGTTGCATCGATATGCCCATCATCATCGTCGAACTCATGCTACAGGGTGCGATACGACTTACGAGAATGGTAGGAGGAACAGAGAGCCTGTCGATGCTAGAGAAGTTCCGCAGTCGACTTGCTCGGGAGATGGCTTTGAATGAGGATGTAAAGGTTGCATCGGACAGATTAAAGCCAATGTTTAAGAAAGAAGAACTTGATATGGATAATGAGATTCAGGTTCGCGTGATTAGAGCAGAGCGAGTTAAGCTTGATGATGCTATTGCGCAGAAGAAGCGCAGACTTGAGGTTATTGATAATCAGTTTGCGGATGAAGTGGAGAGTGGGCTCTAGGTTGCACATGGTTCTTGATATGACAATGATATGTTCTTTTCGGCCGGCTGAAAGAAAGATTACATGAGTGCTTTCTGAATGGGGATCAGTTATCTGATATGATAGATACATTTCTGTCATGTCAAGCTGTGGAACAGCATATTGATCAGTACATCAATCTTGATGCTTATTTGCCAACTATATCATTTTAGAACGTGCATTCAAAGTGATCTATCTCATTTTCTTGCATAGATCTCAGTCAAAGCAACAAACGTTCATCTTTCGAAGGAAGATTCAATGCATGTATGAAGAGAAAAGTGCTGGTGAAACAACCCCGTAACGCATTCGATGAAAATAAGTATTAGATTGTGCTATTTTCCCCCGAGCCAGCGACTCCGGATACTCCAATTAGATCTTTTCTCCTCCAGATTTCGCTGTATCGAGATGTTGAAGAATAAAATTGAATGAAGTCAAATTTGATGAAATTTAACGAATCGTCTAATGTCGCTATATCATGAAGACCCACTATTAGAGCCCCAGTCCGAATATTAGCTAGTGTAGCGAGCTGCTGACTAAGAATTATCTCCTCAACGACATCCAACACAGGTTCTAGAGAGCTTGCGCGCCTTGTGAACTTTTTTGGTCGAGGCCGACCAGAACCACTACTGTATTGCTGTTACTTGATCTTCATTGGTCTATCAAAAGTGCCGTCAATCTTCTTTGACACATTTCTCTCAAATTGGAACGTTTCTAGGCGAAGGATTGGGAAGAACTCACGACTATCCGATTCACTACACCTCTCGATTACCTAACCCAGGAAAAAAAAAGCAGAGAATACTCAACCACTTGTAACTCCTCATTTGAGCGTAGAAAAATGTATAAAAAAATAAATTGGCAAAAGAGTGGTGAAGAAGAAGGGGATTAAATTCAGGGGAGTAAGAAGAGACCTGCGACGGTGACCTCGTCGACGAGGTCCCGGAGGAGTTGTCAATGTCAACCTGACCGTTCGGCCAGGGTGACAGACCCGTAATAGCGCACGAATGACCAATTCTTGTTTCAGTATATAAACACTAGCACCTGACTATTCAAATGCATCGTATAACTGCCTGGTAATAAGAGGTAACAAGCATCGCATTTTCATCAGGCTCTCTATATTGAGAAAAACTATTCTATGATATAATTGATATTTTCATACATTAATTTGGTATAGCATATCTCAAACATGCATAAGTTTAACGATAATCGTGATATATTTGACTTGTTATCTTACATCCAAGAAGATAGCCATCACATATAGACAATCACCTCCCCCCCCCTCCCCGACAATCCAGGGAACTTATTATGCATGAATATCAAGGTTGTAATTTTAAATATTGGAGATTGTTCTGGCAGGTCGATCGTAAAGAGAAAATATTTTAGCTACTCATATTCGTGTTTGGTTAATTTGAGAGAATAGACAACTCAGGATCAAAGTGTAATGAAGCGATTTATACCCTGCTATGCACCTAAGCAAGAAAGTAGTCTCTCCCAATGTCATTTGGTATAGATTGGATGTAATTTTATCCTGCTGTGACAATGATCCGCCCAGGACTTTCCCATAAGAATTTGATTGCCAATCAGCGGTACTTGTCGCTCGAGCCAGTTATATAACACTCTCTCCACATCATCTCCTCCCATGACTTGAGTAGACTACTTGATGATCACTCTCTCCGACTGAAAAATGTCAAGTTCTCTATCCTTCTCTAACTCTATATTTGTCCTTTTATTTTCGCGCCATTTGCTATTAATTTTTTTACATTGTTTTGATAATTCCGCTTCAAGATGGTCATTCGTTGTTTTGCTGCTGTTTGACTTCGAGTTCTTCTTGAGGAATCTCCACCGAACCGTGCCATTCTTGGAGAGATGTCGATGTGTTAACAGCGGCCAGATAAAGATAAAGTAGGTAAAAAACAAGAGTTAATTTGAACAGAACGAAAGTTGAATCCCTTTTTTCATACTGAATCAGAGGCTAGATAATGTAGCTAGGTATCTGAAAGGGTACTCATCAGACCTTTGGATTTTCAATATGGGATAGAAAGTTGCTATGGCTACATGTAAAATTTGACCCCAAGTTTATGTCTCCAAAAGAATAAAAGTATATCATGTAAGACTATATAAGTACATGCATCGCTCATTTATGTACTTCAACGGCTCTTTTGAATGATTGTCTGTGCAAAACAACCATCGAAGATCATGCCATCGAATGAGTGATATCCGACCTTCTATCACACTAAAAGTCCAAAGGTTGTGAAGAGGTCGATGAGTAGTTTTAAAATGTCTTACTTTCGATATTTTAGTCGTTGACATTTAAAAAGTTCCTTGTAATAGCAGTTCATTGACAGACATGCTTGAAGACAGGCAAGCACGTAAGAGATTAAGGAAGTGTTTGCGTCATCAATGTCATGAAATTAAAAGTATATTCGTAGCGAATCATATTACTTTTCATCATTTTTTGTTGTTTCGAGATCTTGAGATGAAATTATATATCAGAGCTTTTATGTGAAATGAGCTCTACCACTATCGCCTCGCTAATATAGTATGTTGAATAATAACCCAGATAGTCATTTGATATACGAGCTTTTTCGTGAAAGGTCCAAAGGTGTACATTGCGCAAGCATGAGGCTTAGTAGCAGCCCAATCTGCCATAAAGGTTAAGCACAAGGTTAGATCATAATCTAATCACACTAAAAGTTTAGACAAAAAAATCATAATCTTAATCTGATGATCTTCTGACTCTTTCTCATCAGCCAAGGTATCCATGTTTTGCTGTATGTATCAGCCGCGACTTCAACTGATATGAGCTATGAAGAAAAGTATTAATATCAATAGCATTAGATAATGATGATTAAGCCTGTTAGAAAAATGTGAAAACTTGCTATAAGATAGTCGCTTAATAAGTATACGTATTGAAATTAGTCACTTGTTCCCACGCCAAAACAAAATCAGACACCTAGCCGGTTTTGCAAGTTGTTCGCACATCATCGAATCAAAAAGACACCTTAAGAAAATTGCTTTGCTGTCCTTTCATCGGCCGCTCACGGGTTAGCCATACCTCAAGCCTTTGGTTTTCTTGAAAGACGTCCTCTTCCTTACTATACCAAGCACCAACCAATTCTCATACATTTGTTTACTTGTTCAATATATTCTCAAAATCATTCTTCACTATTCTTTCTCCACAATCGACTGGACACCCGAAGTCACACAAGAGCATTGACTCACGACATCGCCATCTATGGATCCTCTCACCCTTTTCCATTCTTCTATTCATTCATTGAACACTCTTCTTCACCAATCTTTTTGGCTATTTTTCTCTTTTTCAGTCATTATTTCCGTATTGACTCGGTTAATTGATGAGGCCCATAATTTTGACAGGTTTCTTCTGTTGGATTGGAGCCTCGAAGAGTTCTGAATGGATGATGATAATCATTTCGAGTGCAAATCTTGCTCTGATCAAGTAACAGACAGGTGAGATTAAATAGCCGCTACTTTACAACATCTATTCTAACAAATCTGGCAAGCCTTCTATCTCATGAGTCAGTGAATACGGCTGATAAGGTCAAATGAGGCTGGAATATTGAAACACTGTATAGAGGTCTTGAACAATAATAATGGATCGAATCACAATCTAGATGAGGGCAAATCTGTTAAATAGGATGCCAACCAAAAAATTATCGGACAGACTCTGGCTCTACAGGAAAAGATAAAAGTAGAGGGCGCACAGCTCTTCAACCCCAGGTAAAAGTGAAGGTTCGAGCAAGCTGACGTCGATATAGTGAGTGTCTCTATCTGGCGTGTTGCCCTACATACACAAAGCTATATCAACTAAGGTATTACTGATTGAGAGATTAAGTGCTCGAGAACGCTTCTTCTGTATCACAAATTATGTATTCATAATAATCTCTGTTTCCTCTACGAGATATCAACTTTCATAAGTGCGGAAACAGAGATAGTGAATTGATTCAGCCTTTTACGTTACGGTGGATTCAATCACATTCTTTCCAAGAATATTGATTCGAAAATTTTCTTACCAACATCCCTTGCTACGAGATTTGACATAAAAACAAAAAGCTTGCCTTCGCCCAGGCCATCCTCTCTTTCCATATGAAAAGGATCCTACAAAAAGTCCTCAACTGGCAAACGATCATAGATCTGGATAAACAAATTAATCTACCACAAAAAGACATCATGTCTAACGGTGGGGTCGGGTTGGTTTCTCATCTTTATCTCCGAATGAAGCTTGTGCTAACGCTAACTTACCTATCATAGTAGAGAATCTGGCACAAACAGATTCTTCATTTCGAATCCTCCCACTGTCTCCAAGCGTGCTACCTCAAAGAACACCACACCAACGGAAGATCTCGCTGTCATCATCAAAAATCAAGAAGCCAACATCAATGATCTCAATCTTCGTCTTGACAAAATGGAGCAGAAAATTAAGAATATCGAAGGGATCTTGACGAGGGTAGATGCTATTGAGCATGCCGTCAAAGGCGTTGGAGACGAGTCGGGACAACCGGCAGATGGAAATACACATGTTGCCCCAAGACATCAAAAGTCTGCGGGTGCTCTCAAAAAGCAAGAGAATATGTATCGTGCGCTTGGCATCAAACCTCCTGCAAGTAGCTCCTAGATTTTGGAAGGTATGGTATAGGGACGTGATGTCAAGGAAGGTATCGCGCAGAGGGAACGGAAGCGAGGTAAGCTAGAATATATAGCAGCGTGCATTTGCCGAAAAATCTACCGGTACAATCTTGCGCAAGTACTACAGTTCGTAAAGCTGCAGGAAGGGATAGTGTTTCACTTTTGAGATAATCTCATTTCCAATGAATCAAAAAGGCTACCATTAGCATTTCTAGTAATCATAACCCAAAATCTTAGGTTGCATGTCAGACTTCTCTCGGTTCTTCTAATTTGTGTCATCTGGAACTGAATGGCGATCTGCTCTTAAAGCTTAAAATTAGTGCTAAATCTTCTTCCAAGTGCCAAAAGGAAATTGCCCCCTTTGCATCTGCTTACGTGTACTATATCGTCCAGATATATCGTCCAGATATATCGAATCAATAATCTATCGAGCTTGCCCTCCCCCGTAAGAAATTTCGGACATAAATCCAAGGCACGAATGTATTACGGCATTGAAGAAATCGAAACCCTACTTTTCTTTGAGCCACAAGTGCGGCATTTCTGAGTATCCTACAAAAATTGCAGGCCAAAAATTTGAAGAACCTCTAAAACAATCCTATCGTGCTACCTCAATCCTACTTTCACACCATTTTTACTCTCCATAGATAACTTAATACCTGCAGCAAACTTCTTCTCCAGATCCCTATTCTCCATAGTTTTAAATTCTTGCATAAATCGAACCACCAAATAAGAAACTTCGCTTAAGGCCATCTGTTGCGCTGGAAAAACCCTACCACCCCCAAGAAAAGGTATATATTCCCATGTTGCTCGCAGATTTTCCCATCTCTCAGGACGAAAATCCATTGCATTTTCTCCCCAGATATCTCGGTCTTTGTGTAGTGCGTGAAAAACTATTCTAATTTCCGTACCTGGACGAACCAGAATGGGACTTTGACCATCAGGTCCACCTCCTCTTGGAAATACACAATCCTTACCACATGTTCGGATACTGAGACCTGCTGGAGCAAGGAGACGAAGACCTAGATCATTAGTCTATTGTTACGAATATAAATGGAATGCTATACTAACTTTAATTGACTACGAACTTAAGATACTTCATCGACTTTAGCAGGTCGAATGTTATGGGCGCATCATCTATACTGATAACTTCCTCGCGCAACTTCATTCAGACATCTGGGTGACGTGCTAAATGAAAGAATATGAAGCCAGTTGCACTAGAAGTAGAATCACGAGCTGGAAGAAATAGGTTCAACATTTGATTTCTAAGTTTCGTTTTATCCTTTGTTTTCTTGACGAGCTCATCCAGATACACATAGTTGCCTGACGAGACTTCTTTAACGGTTTTCTCCGATGACCGCTGCCTGTCGATAGCCATTTCAACGTATCTGTCAATAGAAGCATGGACATAAGATATGTCTTTTCTCAACTGTGTATCACGCCCACGGATGAAAATCAATCTGCTAAGAAACATACGAGTGTGTAGACCTATCAAAGATTTATCAAATATCGAGATAAAACCTTCCGTAGAACCATCCTTTGTACCAGCAAGAAGGGAGTCTTGTGATACCCCGAAGAGGAACTCAGTTGTTCTATCTAAAAACGGCATCGAAAATCAATGTTTCAGCAATTGACCCTTTGAATTTCAGCATTAATGCTTACTATTCTTTTCAAAAGTGGTTGAATATCAACCGTTGAGCCATCTCGGGGTATCAATTCCAGCAAACGATTCGCATGTTTCTCAAGTGATGGGATGACGGAAAATCCGACCCCAAAGAATATTTGCTTTGCGACGCTTCTGTGATAAGCCCATGATTGACCGTCCGCGGTGAAAATACCGTCATGCATTAAAGGCTCTACTACCGGTATCCGGGACGGTGCAACGCCAAACTTTTCCGAGCTGTTTGCTAGAACTTTTTGGATCACCAAGGGATCCATGGTGTTAATGACTGTTGTTACCCAAGAGTTTGATTGAAATGTTTTGCCATGTGTAGTGAAGAGCCCTTCAACCGTCGCAAGCATGCTTCCATTGTGCATGGCCTTCGCTAATGCAACAAACATATCGATGCTGAAAAAAGGATCTTTATGAGCATATTTCTTCGGAGTAGCGCATCCATTTGCCAGCATCGCATTACGATAAGAAAAGCGACGATGTATTGCACGTACGGTGAACTACAATGCAACTATCTCTATTATCCATGATGTACCATTGACGGGAGTCCACATCGCTCATAGTAAGTTAGAAGAGAATGTGATGTTTGGCTCCCAAATCTGAGGAGGTAGGCAAATACTGTGAGAAAGAAAAAATCAAACTCTGGGGAGGAAGAATTGAAGGAGCAGAGAGAAAAACAAGCTTGGATGCTTCAGAATGTTTGATGGGTGTGACAACAACATAGAGCAACATGCACGTATCGGGATGCGCATGCAGACTTTTCTTAGAGTTAATCTCAATCCTTGATTGTCCCTCCAAATAGGAAAGTGTATATATAAACTAATATTTATCAACTTACACGAAATCATTGCATCCAGTCCAAGATCAAATCTCATGGTTCAAAAATTTGCCCCCAACATAATTTTCTGCTGCACTGTGGAATCGGAGGAGCACAGAAATGGCAGGTGATAAAGTACGATACTATCAATATAAACTAGCTGAAAATCATCTTGGTGAATGTGTGTTCGTTATCAAAGTGTACTCTAATTGTGCGTCATATATACTATGGTGAAAGTGTGATAAGGCGGAATAATTCTGAATGGTTCTCAGCGCCAGTGGTGGCCTCTATACCCCACATTAAATTTGCCGAGAAAGCTTTCCGAATGCGATCTCGCTATGGGTACCGATATCCAGTATGCGAGTCTCTTTTGAGAATCTAATCTTCATATTTTTATCCGGGCGATTGCTGAGCAGCTGACAAGTGATTCGTTCATGGTTGGGGATATTATCTTCGGCTTGAGATATCCATCCGCAAGCTGACTATGATTTCTATCAGTATTCCTTACTACCTAGACACTCCCAGTAATTTCCAACTGTGATGGCAGTTTTCCTGCGCTAACAAAATGGTAAATTTGGAACAGAAATACGCACTTCTTGAAAATGAAATGGAAAGCGAACGTGAATCTCAGGGTTCTGATCACTCATCACTCAAGACAACACACAAGACAAGGAGCACAATACCTTTCGCTGGATGGACGCTGTTCTGGGTTCTGAATTGTGTAAATCTAGGCATTTTAGTGTTTCAGACTCATCGATAAACTAGAGAAACTCGAACGGACTGAATTTGGTGAGCCGAGCCACTGCATTCTTAGTAACGAACACCAATCTGGTGCCAGCTGGTCTCAAGCGTGATACCTTTTGGTCAGTCTACGGTCCTTTCGATAACGGAAGTGACTCTGACGCTACCGAAAAATAATGAGAGAAGATCAGTAATTTACCTTTTGGTGTGATTGCCCTGTCTGATTCTTATGTTGAAGAGAAGCGTCTTCATAAAGCTCAAAGACTTTCATGGGATGATTCGAAATGGATTGACATTTGTTACTGCCTGCCTTCCAACAGTCAATTGTAACTTCTGGGATCACAAAACTCTTTGAGAACCCTATGTCAACGACTCTAGGTCCTTTCTCACTCCACTTCCGTTCCACAAACAAGGGATCTTCCGCGAAGGAATTCGAAGTACCAATAAATACTATGAAATGGATCAGACATCATTTGCAGCCAAAGCTTTGAACGGGGGAGCAGTCTGGAGAAGGGAAGCAAATTTCAGAACCGAAAAACATTTCACGGGAGATATAGAAGCCGCAAGATTGCGCCCATAGTTATTTGCGAAAAGATTGTGAAGCTTTGGACGATACTTACTGTGAATTTTGGATGATTTCCTCTTTGCGGTCAAACTCTCTGTACATAAGCGCAAGGAAAAGAAATATCACTGGGAAATTGTTGCTTTCGGTGTGATATATTCTCTTTTGAAATGTAAGATTACTCAGTCCTTTGGACGCGCGTTAGTCTAGTAGATTTGAAACAGTTGAACGATTCTCTGAAATTGGCTTCAATTTTTAATGTGTGGTCCATCACTAAAAAGGGTGATCAGCACCAAATTGGAGGGAGTCATCAAGCAAACTAGCGTTTGCAAGGCTGCATACAAAGGCGGATAGCCATGTTTGGCTTATTCCTAAGACCGCTCAAAATTGTGGTCCAGAGAGAAATTTCGAGTTCAAGCAAAAGGTTTCAACGAGTGGCATGTATTTACTTGTTTTATGTTCTGCTGATAGATTGAAGATAAATTGAAAAGGCCTCAGTGATTCTGGGGATTTCCGGCATGGTGAAGGTTCACATGGCTTCATCTCGAAGTATGAGAACACTATGGTAAATGATTCCTCAACAATTCAAGTGGCTCCAAGTACCAACAGTTTGTTCTAATTATAGACCCCTGTATTGTAGCATTCAACGACGATCTGCCTCGCTCATGGGAGGGGTAAGCGAGTTCTCATTGGCTAGAATATTCCAAAGCTGCATTCTTGAAACTGATGCAGAACAAGGCACATGGTATGCATCTTTAACCATTTTTAACCATATGAGGTTGCTGCTTCCGCCTGATGTTCTTCTTCTTTTTCCTCGCGTTGTTATCCTGATGGTTAGAAGCAGCAATGACTTCTTCCAATTCACCAAATCTCCTCTCTCCACGTAAGATTCTACCGCTTCCTAGTAGATCACGAAACAGACAGACGTCAAAAAGCAGGCAAAGTTCGGACCCCAGATCTTCCTCTAGTGGTGAGGTGGACGAACATGCTGCAACACCAGAGTGTTCAGAAGATGAGCCCACAGCTGCAGGCCATCGGATTGAAAGAAGCAACAGCCCAAAATCGCAAGTTGGTCCCGTATCTGACACAACCCTATTTGCATCAAGAGTTCGTAAAGAGAGCGCTGTAATTCCCAAAACTTTGGAGAGAGAACAAAGCCAAGATACACCAACTCGAAACGCAAATTTAAAGCCCGTTGCGACACCAGATCATGAATTACCCCAGCCTCTACATACACTAGTAACAGAAGAAAAAATCACAATCAGCAATGGCTCAGAAAATCTCCCTGAAGTCGTGGAAGATTCTCACTATAGATTTTCCTCTGATGGCATTGAAGTGCGGGGTACTAGTCCGCAAATCAGCCACTCCCGAAGATCGTCCGAAGGTACATCTGCTGATAGCGAATCATCAACCGAAGACGCAAAATACACGGTTGAAGACGAAGAGGCACCAGTCGAACCCTATTTCACCAAAGAATTTCAGTCCATTCTTGGAAGAAGCTATGATATTGCAATTCAAGTGGCCGATGAACTGGAAAAACTAGAGAAAGTCTTTGGAGGAGATGTAAATTTTCGAAGACTATTGAATGATTCAAAAGGACTGAGCAAACGCGATATATCGAGTACTAGGACCATTGCTATACTAGGTGCATCAGGGGAGGGTAAGCCTAAAAATTCCCTCTGATTTTGTATTATGATAGATCAAACGCTGATTTCGTTACAGGAAAGAGTAGTCTGATCAACTCGCTTCTACATATGACAGAGCTAGCTAGGACTGTGAGTTCACTTCAGACCACTGGTTTGGAGTAAATATTAATCAATACCTCAGAGTGATGAAGGTTCTGCTTGTACTTCCGTTGTCACAGAGTACAGGCAAAAGAAAAATAGCACCCTCGAACCGTTTTCAATCGAGGTAGAGTATCTTTCCACTCCAGAGCGTCAAGAGATGGTAGAAGAGTTGCTGTGGAGTTATCGACAGCTATTTTTCCCAGATTCAGATAATGAAGGCAATGCGCTTGATTCTGATGAAAAGGAACGTACCGAAAGAGAATCCGCAGTGGCATGGTCGGCTCTTGAGGCATTGTTTAGCCAACAAGAGGAGTTCGATGTCAGTTTCCTGAGCGACAAGTCGAAAGGTTCATTTGAGAGGATCAAGAGCAAATTGTTAGAATGGATGCAGAAGATAGAATTTCCTGCAGACGATGAGTCTGGTTTATGGACAGCTAGTGCGCATACTTCTGATGAATGTCAAGAACTAACTAGTGTCTTCATGGAGGATAAGCTTTGGCCATTCACTAAGATCATTCGGGTCTACCTTGACGCTGAAGTGCTGAAAACAGGCGTTGTCCTCGCCGATTTGCCAGGTATAACCATTGTTACTGTTTGTTGCGACTGGCTGACGAATCCCTATAGGTCTACAAGATACTAATTTAGCGCGTGTTCGAGCAACACAGAAGTACTTGCAGAGTTGTGATCATGTCTTCATCGCAACCAAAATTTCCAGAGCAATTACTGATACAACCCTAAAGTCAGCATTATATAGTGAGCTCAAACGCCATGTTCCGCTTGCGTGGGAGGAATCGGGAGGCACCAATATCAATTTCAAATTGGCTGTTATATGCACAAGGTCAGATGTATGTACTTATGTAGAGCTGGAAAATTCTTATTTTAACTTATTCTCCATAGGATATCAACCCAAAGACAGCAAAGAGGACTTTCGTTGGTAATGGAAAAGAGATATCTTTGATTGACATGAACTCGATTGACAAAGATATCGAGAACGCGAAGCGCAAGGGTGACAAAAGCCTAAAAGAAACCCTCGAACGAAAGTGAGGCTTGCTTTGCTCCCTCTTCAAATGTGCCACTTATTTCTAACAATCGATAGAAAGTTGTGGCTTTTTATCGAAGCTCGAAACCGCCACGTTACCAAGGGACTTCAAGCCGCGTATCGACAAAAGACTATCAACGGGCATCTAGATGTCTTTTGTATCTCAAACACAACATATGAGGAATATGTAGAGGATAAGGACAATGAAATGATCCAAAAGAGTGGTATTCCAGAACTTCGTCGCTTTTGTCGAAAGATAACTGCTAGTGCTCAACTTCTGCAGGCACTGCATTTCATGCGATCAAGGCTACCAAGTCTATTAAATTCAATTACGCTGTGGTTGGATTCCGTTCAAGCAGTCTCTCAAGTACAGGATGATGGTAGAGGAACGTTGGTCTTGGACTGCTACGAGCGTTCCAGAAAAGAGGTGAGTGATAAAAAGAGCAAAAGAACTCTTGTATGTGCAATTTCTCTAAACATCAATAGGCAACTGAGTCAATCACGAAATATCATAGGGAATTCAGAAATGCCTTACAAAAGGACATGCTTGGTTTCTTTAGTGGGTTACTGTTTGCCTATTGATTTGATTACTGTACTAAAAAGAATTCAAAAAAGATAGGGAAAGTATACAGTGGGAGGTTGCTGCGAAAAAGAGGGCGGAAGAATGGGCTGAAGTAAGCGATTCAAATGCTCTTTCGAAAACATTCTGACAAAAGATAGTGGCATCATCGTATGATCTCTTAGATTTTGTACCCTCACCCAAAAAGGCGACTAATGTGTTTTGAGTTCAATAGAATCATACAATGCGTGGTGTAGAAACAACGGAGAGCACACCACTGTTGCGCGGGGTTATAAAAATTGGAACGCGGAAATTCTCGAAAGAATGAGGGTGGAGCTTGAAACGAAATGGGATCTTCTTGAAGAGAAGATCCCAATAAATTTGGAGAGCCTCCTACAAGAGGTCAAAGATCAACTTCAAAATTTGGAGACTCATATCGAAGGTAGGATATCTCAATATACCAATGAGTTGAACTGCCATGAATGTCACACAAAGCTGACAGCGCTGAAATAGGGCAAGGTAGATCAGCTCCAACGCAGTATGGGATTGACTTTCGTATACAAGACTTAGAATACAATTTCGGTCTCATACAACAGGAATTTGAGAGAGGATTAAGGTATTGCATTGTTCCCATACTTTTTTTATCAGTTTTCCTAACTTTCTCTACAGAACAATTCGACAACACGTTGAAGATCCAAATGCTTCGTCGTTTGTCGTTGCTGAAATGATGTCAGCTTATCGTAAAGCCGGAAGCGAAGGAGGTTAGTCATTGTCACTCACCCAAGCAACTGACCCCTCCCGTAGTAATTCAAAAGTAGGCAAAGGCATGAAGGTGCGGCAAATATCGATTATCACGAATCAAGTCAATGGCGGCACAATGTTCCCTAACATTTCTGCCAAAATGCGTCAAGAAGCAGTCACCTTGATTGACTATGAATTCAACAAGCTCAAACTGGAATTGCACGAGACTTTTAATTTGATACATAAAGACATTGATATGGCGATTGCTAAGAGACCGCAGTCCCAGCAATCTGCTGCTACGACCGAAGGTAAAGATTTGGTCGTAAGACTTGCAAAAAGGCTCAATAACTTGAGATTGAAGTATCATGAGATTCTTCGTGATCAGGAGAGTGAAGTGGGAGTTTGAGGAGACAGTATCAACTGTTTCATGGTAGTTAGTGGTCGAATTCTAGTAATTCATGTAGCTATGTTGTTGGACTCGAAGTGGCGAAATCTGAGCCACGTGAATCTATCTTTAATGTTTCATTTCTATTCAAATAACCTTTCTGATTGTCTAGCTTGAGTGGTACTGTTGATCCCTATTTACTTTGCCTCCTGATCATTATTCTTAATCCTTCTAGTTGAATGTGATCTTAGCAGTGAAACTAAACGTCACAAAACCATAAAACTCAATACACATTGTGAGCTCAGGCAGCGATTCGTGGCCTTTGGCGAAAGCTTCGTTCTATGAAGATACCAAGTGGGAAGCCAGGGATAAAATTCCACTGTGTTTTTTATATTTGAAATTTCACTTGAACTTCGTAGAATCTTAAAACTGTTGCATCCAACACCTGACGTTGGAAAACGAGATCATGCACGGCCATTCGCGTAGATTCAGGAGTGGAAATCCAGTAGTGCTCGAGTAAATTGCCTAAAGACGAGAAATTCCCGAGTAAAATCAAGTTCAATAAACATTCGCTGTGGAGATCAATAAAAGCAAAATACACTGGCCTTCAAGTAGCTCCATATCTGGCCTATTAACCATCATAAACCAAGCTAGTAATGGTTATCCAGATTTGTACCCAGCTTGCGCCGTACCTTGGAAAACCAGAGAGTGTCCCCCGCAACTATATGGTGTGCAAGGTCAATTACCCTCGCCGTGGTACGGCCCTGATACAATACAGCTGCGCAAATATGCTTTGAAGAATCTTTATCATTTCAAGCTGTATCAAAATCATATATATATATATCTCATGGAATAATGCTTTTCTAACACCACAAGATCAAGCAGAAGTTCCTTCGTAGTAAGATTTGATCTCGTGAAGAACGCTCCCTGAGCCATATATTCAAAGTTCCCACAGAATAACCAATATATTAGTCCAAGTAAGTCTCCGAACATCATACGACAGACGACGAGTGATTTGTATCATGGCTTTGAAACAAACTCGATAGCAGAATGAAACAAACAGCTCCAATCCGGGACCTTGGTTAGTCCTCCGTAATCACAAATTCCAGTGGAAAGAGAAAGTCAAACTAAACGTGGAAACACAGGAAACCAACTGCTGATCGAAACACTTGCACCCGGAACTACAAGTTTCTCAATAAACGCTAGAGATGAGAGACATATAACTCTCGACGAGTCAGACAGCCTTCGAACAGATCGACCAGGCCTTGAAAGATATCAATTAAATCGGGATGCAGCCATCGGAGGCCACTCGTATGACTTCGCCGAGCTGTATATGGAGCATCGCGAGTGGCAGGAACAGGCGAAGAAAGTCAACCAACGGCTCAATGAGTACATTTGGCAGACTACAAATCTGCGCGAAGATACAAAGCTCATGGATGAGACACATGCTTTGATAAAGCTAGTCGAATCGTTGATACGCGAACGAGATGAGCGAGGTATCAAATTCGAAATTGCTTTGCATGCTAGAAAATTAGCAGACGAGGAGGATGCAGAATTGATGGAAAGCGATATTAGTTCTTTGGATACTCCAGTGGAAGAGGAGCCAAGAACAAATATCGCTACTGCAGATATGGGTACATGAGCTCCTCATAATTCCCCAATCTAAACTTTTCAGCGATAGCTAATGTGTCCTTGACAGTGGAGTGGTTTCAAACGATCTCTGAACTTTGGGAGGAGGATAGACAGACGGTTGCGAGCATCCACGACGCATATCATGCTGTTCGCAACGGAGAATATCCTAACATTCGAGAAGCATTGGAGGATGCAGTCAGCTTATAATACTGGCTCGGATCATGGCCATGATGTCTTCGGGTTGTAAACTAGAGAGCAATCGAGAGGCTAGACACGCTTGTAGACTGAACGTTGTCTTTAAGATACTTGTTGGCAAGCACGAAGAAGGGGTATCATAATCGTTATTAGGGTGGTGCAACAAAAATGGAGGAATAGCGCCTTGAGATCCGGCTAATCGTCCTGTATCATTTAGAGTTCGAATCTATTTCAAACCTAATAAACATTTCAATCATGATTAATCAAGCAAAGTTTCTGCCCCCGTTCGTACTTGACCCCCAATTCCCCTCACATCGGCGTGATTAAGAAATTTGCGTTCTCCCATTTGACCTCCCCATAATGAACTGAACGCAGCCATGCAAATCTTCGAATGTAACTTGTCGTTCAAACAATGCACGCTAGTGCTGGATTCACTCTATTCGTGCATCTTGAGCGACGTGATTTCTGTTCTTCTCCTTAAAACGAGTAATGAGGCAAGATCACACTTGAATGCTACAATCCATCAAGAAGGCATGCTATCAGCAAGCTCCGGGCCAGTATATAAGCCAGGAGTACAAGCCAAACAAGAACTGGAAAAAAAAGTCGAGGTAGGATGACCCACCCCTTCGTGCAGAGACACAACTTAAAGTCAAATCTCTAAAGGTATAGGAACAGTGCCCCTTGAGTGTACCGTTCTATATTCAGTCGTACATTACGTTCCAAGCCTTATTCATGTACATTTTGTTTTGGTATCTAACGCCAGTCCATTCAAGTATTCCTTATCGTTGCGCCTGTTTGTAATGCGCCGTAACTCCATAGTTAAACTCCATACCCAAACAATCCAACAGCATTCGGTTGGGCTGCAGGATTCATCCTCTTGATCGCGATACGTGCATTCAATCCAATCCAATCCAATCCATCATTCAAATGTAGGAAACGGAAACTTCCAGCACACTAACCCTCCTGACCCTACTCTCACTCTCCCCCATATCGTCATCCTTATTGTCAATTCCCACAATATCATCAACAGTCGCTACACTCTTTGTCCTGATTACCACTCTCACACCTTCTTGTTGCTGCCACCAATGCGCCAACATTAATGTTTTCTCAATTGCTTTCCCCGTTCCTTTCATTACGACTTCTTCGCCGTTGCCGCTGCCTGGTTTCCTTTCCATCCTACTTGTTTTAATGCCTTCTTCGATTTCTCTCATCAACTCCCTGTCTGTACTAGGCAAAACTGTAGGTCCGGCACGAAACTCTGCGCCATCTAGGTATTTACGGACTCGTTTCACGATGGCGATGAATTGCGATTTATCAGAGACGTAGACGACTTTCTCAGAAGAAGAGCGGGGTGACGCGATTGCGGGGTGCAGAAGGGGTCGCTTTTGGATTCTTTGGTCTGCGCACACGAATTAGCATCAATCAAAAACAAGGGAACCAAGGGAACCAAGGGAATCAAGAGAATCTCACTCTTTCCTATTCTTGGCAGCTTAGGTTTCTTGTCGTCCTTAGAGGAAAGTGAAGGTAGTGTACGAGCCATTTCTGTGCCGGCCACGATGCGGCTCTGGTTTTGGTTTTGGTTGCGATTGTTTATCCACAATTTGTGCGCAAGAATGTAAAAAAGTATGAAGAATGTTTACGATGTAGAAATTGATGAACAAGGTATCAAAAATTAGATGTAGAGTAAGGAAGCAGCACAGAGAGGGTCCGTAATTGCGATTCCGATACATTAAATTGATACAGCAAAGTTCTAAATTGAGACACTCACCGCCCGGCAGAACCCATTTTACACTAACGTCATAGGCTATAGATAGATAGCTCCACCAAAGTGCAGCAATCTATATCATCCCGCAGAACACTTAATTTCTTAACAACGATATATCGATATGTCTACTTCCATCTGGCCGTCTTTACCTGTCCATGAGTTGAGGAAACAAGAGGACGATTCTACGGTATGTATCTACTTGCTTTCCCATACAATCTCATCTACGCAACAAGCGGAAACTAACTGTCAGTCCAGGAACGCGAGCTATCATGGCTTCTCGAATCACTACAGGAAACATTAGATTCGTTGAAAACGGGCTTAGAAGATTGTTATGCGCTTCTCGCCCCCGTTGAGCCGGGGTCTACACTTGTTATGTCATCACCTCGCTCCGAGTATTTGAAGGGCCATATCACACGTGTTGGTACTCAGGTGGTTAAAGGAGTTTGTCTTCCCCCTTTTCCTTATGTTCTTCATATCCTTAACTTCCCTTTTCCGCCCCAAACCTCAAACTATGAATTCAAACTCTTTCGGCGATCGCTAATAGCCATCCCCCAGACTCTTCATCTGCGCCTCAAATCTCTCCCACCGTCCTCATTTTCACTGTCGCCGACTCTGCCCCTTCTCCTCGAACCGCTCACTCAACTCCGCACACTCCTAAACCAAAGTCTTGATTGCGTCGACATAACTCGCTGGACCGGCGATCGTCATTCTGCGCCTTTTATATCCTCCCAGTTGCACCTTCTTCATAGTATCCTCACCGAGGCCAAGCTCGTCCTCAAAGGTCCCTCTCTCCTCGAATCTCCCACACAAACTCCCGCATCTTTGAACTGGGCGCATAACCCTGTTGATCCCGATACTTTCGCCCCATCCTTGCCCTCCAATCTCTCTCTCGATCTTACAATCTCCGATGGCTCATTACTGCTCACCATACGAGTTCTTGAACCTGTAGCACAGCAAGTCAACTTTGGAAGCAGAATAGCATTTGCTATTGGAGCTCAGAGAAGATTGGAGCATGATGAGATGGATGAGGTGTTCATGTTCAAAGGGGAAGAGGTTAGGGTCAAGGAAAAGGTTAGAGTCGAGAGTGCGGATCCAAAGTTAATGAGTGTTTTGGCTAAAGTGGCGGCTTTGGAGCATACAGTTGAAGGGGCGAGGGCGGGTTTGAAAATTGTTATGGGCAGTGATGGGCTGGAGGCTGAAGACTAGTGGTGTATTTGGGACTACTTCCAAAGAGTGTCAGTCACCACAATCTGCTCAATATCAGACGATGATTCTTCACGGCATCGCTAAAACCAGGCCTGGCATCTTTGAATGTAATGCTTAGGGGGTCCAAATGGCACGCCTGCTAGCTGAATCGATAGTAGTCAAGGATTACTGTGGAAGTATTTCCCGTTGGATGAAGTGCAGCTACATTGGGAGTTAAATCTAGGTTCTGCGATGATACCATTTGATTGTTTTGCGGTTTAAGGTTTTATATTCTCGTTTTTTACCAACTTAGTGATTGGAATAGATTTAAATCAGCTAATAATGTCTGGCTCTGCACATTCTTATCTGGAGTATGTATGGATATGTATAGAATGTACTCTTATGTTTCAATTTGCAGTAGAAATAGAGCATCACCATAATGGTATCTCTCAAAAATTTTGACGGCGTTGCAATCAAACCTTCCTCCAAATTCCAAATTCAATACCGCAGCCCATCTCAAAAAGCTGCAGAAATTCTGGATATCATCAGGGCCCCTGCTCACACGAATGTCTCCACTTATCATCAATCTTGATGTATTCTCGGCATGCTAATGGCAATTGTTGTTTGAACATTATTGGGCTCTCCGTTGCATCCAACTAATTTATCTTCAAAAGAGTGGCAAGTATTTATCCATTAAAAACTCCCTGAATGTTGAGTTCATTCTTGCCGTTCTGGGCATCCTAAATACTTCGAAGTGACGAATAATATGAAATTCATTGTTGAATACTTAGATCAGAACTGTTTATCCCGAGAAGCCTAGGAAGATGCTTCAACTATTCAAATATTGCAAGCGGAATCATGAGCAAAGTCAACAAAAAATTTCAGGTACCATTCTTTTCAAACACCCACCCACTCAGAAATCCACTTAGCAATCCAATCCCTTTTGATACCCTCCAAATCCTTCAAAACCTTACTTGCCTTTCTGGTCTCTTCCGTTTCCAAGACATTACTTTCCTTGCCATCTCCAAGCACATCTTCGTAGAACTTCAACAGTTTGACTGCGGGGTTATTTTCCAAGATCTCATCTAATTCTCCTTCCTTCAATATAGCCCCGGGTCCTACTTTCAGCTCTACATCTTCCCTAACTTTCGCGATCCAGACATCGAGTGGAACGACTTCAATCGATTTGCCGGAAATAGAACATAGATCCATAACCACCTCCTCTCGAATATCTTCCCAGGTTTTGGGATTATGATTCAAAGGATGAAAGACCTTAACCGGTCTCCCCTCATTTTGAACATTATTGACCAGAGCCAAGTCCGCGATGATACCTGCAAGCAAATCTACCGGTACCCAGTCGATTCTTCCAAGGCTCGAGCCTAGAGAGCTAGGAATACAACCTACATGTATAGAACTAAGAATGAGACTTGGAAACCATTCAGTCTTGTTCCACATCCCCTTAACTTTTACCGGACCAGCTATCTGACCGACTCTTGCGAGGGAGAACTCATATCTATGAGGTGAAGAATTATCTGATGCGTAAGAGATGAGAAGTTCCGAAATGTATTTGCTTTCCGCGTAGCCATTTGGTCCTACAAATGATTCATTGTGGTCGGTTGGTGGATGGATTATATTTTCGGGTGTAACACCAGACGAAGTTTTGTATCCCATGACGGAACTAATTGAAGAGATGAAAAACAAGCTCCCACCTGCGCTTGATACTGCGAGCGTAATAAGATTGATCAGACCTTCAATGCTCGGACGGAAAGAAGACAATGATAGATTGAAATTAACAGGCCAGGCATTATGGATGATGCGAGTTGCCTGTAGTAAGTTGGAGTAGTCTTCTGAAGAAAGTCCAAGCTGTGGCTTCGAGAGATCTGTGGTGAGGAATGTGACTCGAGTGTCGGCAGTATCTGCGGATTCGCTTCGAGACTCTCGGAGACTTTTACCTGACGCTGAGCGGTTCAAACAGTATATATGAGCGACTCGTGAATTTGAGAGAAGACTCCCTAGAATATGGGAACCAAGCGTGCCTGTAGACCCAGTCAAGACGACGGTTTCATGATTCGTGTCAACTTTCCCATGGGAAGTCGCCGGATGTAAAATAAGCGAATCAATACGGCTTCGAAACTCCGTGAGCATACTGTCTCTCAATTGGCCTGCCATCTGTCGACCATGTATAGATTTCTCGTCTTTCGAAATCTTCACGACAGCGCTTGCTAATTGAGCAATTGATGGATTGGTATAAAGCGTACTTGAAGCGATTGGTGTAATTCCAAGTCCACAGCGAAGCTTTCTCACAACTGTGAGAGCCTGCAGAGAGTCCATTCCGCGAGCGAAGAAGTCCTCGTTCACATCTAGATCAGGCCAAGAAGTGGTGTTGACCACAGCTTCTTTCACGCACTTGGAAACCGCCGATAAATCACCAATGTCGATGTTCGAGAAGATTTCGCCGTCTCTCCCTACTGTCATGCTATCTGCATCTGCATACAAAGCATCGAGTTCTTCCCGGTAAAGTTGTAAAGTTCCTGCTCGCTGAACCGTACCTTTTCCCGCAATCGACATACGTTTCGTTGGATTGGTGAAGAAAATGTGTGTTTTAGCAACCTTTGCATGAGCCTATCGGACATATTAGTACCTGCCTGTCGTTCAAAGATAGAGAAGAAGACCAAAACGGCATGTTGTCTTTCACATCTGCTTCTTAGGCATAGAAATGTATACTCACTGGGCACTTTTGGTTGGCTTCTTCCACTGAGGGCCAGATCTTTTCTAGCAGCGCTGCGCGCTCTGTTGTTGAGATATTGATATCTCCATTAACAGGGTCTATCAAAAGTGATGCTTGAAAACGTTGTGCGCCCATCACCAAAGCCGCTTGAACTTCTGGATTACGAGCCACGATGTGCTGCTCCATTGATATAGGATTGGTCTTCTCGCCATTTAAGAATACAATAATATCGTCAGCTCTTGCATGCCATTTCCAAAGGTTTGGCTTGCTAGGATGAGGGGTGAAGAGATCACGACTGGCATATTCCGTTGCTTGGGGAAACATCGTGAAGGTAGGTTGCTGCTTTAACAATTCGGGGTCGGAAAGCATAGTCAGCTCGTGGGTATTGTCTATTACTGGTCTGAGTTCGGCGCCTGTGTCTGGGTGAAACTCGACGTACTTCCAGTCTCCTCGGTCGAGCTCGCCATTTCGATGGATCAGGTTTGATAAGCCAAGTTCCGTAGCTCCAAATTGATTCACCAGTCTGATCTTAGATGCAACTATGTCCCCGATGGCTTGTGGCAAGTCTCCTCCACAGTAAATTATCATTTCCAGATGCTCAGCGCAATAATCGAGAAGATCTGGGCTTTGGCTCAACTCATTCACAATAGAAGGTACTATGAATGCAACATCTGCTGGTGTTTTCTTCAATCCATCCACAAGTCCCTTCGCGGATGGTATTGCTCCGGAAGTAGAACTAATCATCACTGTACCAAATGGTACAGCATTGAACAAATGACAACAAAGGTATGCACCCTAAACAATATTGCATCAGAAGCTATGGCGTCATTGAGAACAATTTGAAACTCACGTGGAAGGGTGGGAAGGTTAAAAATACTCTTTTCCCCTCATACATTCGATGTTGGCTCTCATAGCCAGCTGGTGGGTCTAGCGCCATCAATGCGATGTTTCTTTGAGCAGTTTCATGAGTCCAGATCATAGGCTTTGGAAATCCAGTCGAGCCAGAAGTATGCCTTTTGTAGTTAGGTTAGCTTTTGATATAGCATGATCATAGGTTCACTTAGCTTACACAACTACGAAGGGCTCCTGATATGCTTTAGAGAAAGTTTTATCGAACGGAAAATGTCTTCTCTTATTTTTGAGAATATCTTCAACACTTGGAACCTCAACGAAGCGAAGATCAGAATTAGCTTCGAGAATCTCGGTGATCTGAGGGAGGCGAGGAGTCGGTGAGAGAATGGTTCTACATTCCAGGAGATCAAGTAGGTTTGTTTGAGCTGCAACGCTATTTCTGGGGGAGGTGAGAAATATCTTTTAGACCTTAGCATCGCATATTCATGACAAAATAACAATCTGAATTCGATGGATACAGAGAAGAATATGCGCAGTTGGGGGCGGACTGTGGTCTGTGGATAGAAACAACTTAGGGAAAATTCTCACCAAGTAGCCAGCTTTTATGGCACCCAAGATTAGTGCTGGATATCTCAGATCATTGGGCCCTATATAGGCTAGAACCTCGAAGTCTTTCGCAGGACCCAAGTTTTCGTGCATCCACCAAGCAACACAGTCGACAGCGCTTGCAAAATCACCATAGGTGATCTTACGGTAGCCATGATCGTACGTCAAAGTAGAAACTGGATACTCTGCATACAAAGCCTCTGGATCAACTTCAGCTAGATGGTCAACAATGTTGGGAACGAGTTCATCTTTCCATTTTCGAGAAGTCATAGTTAGCGAGCCCGTAGTAATTAATAAGTAGCTTCTCTTTACTTGACCGTTTGCAGTCTCTGAAACGCGACAGTCAAATTGCGATGGATACACTTATAAAAAGATTTCTTGGCTTCTATTTCATTTGGCATTACATAGCAAGATAGTCTTCAGATGTACATAGGTAGCTGACTGCCGGCAATGACGGCATCGGCAATACTGGAGCCAACCAACAAGTGGCCAACAAACAGTTGGAATTTCACATTATCCAACGTGATTCGAAGTAAGCAAATATAGCATAAGCTATCTGACCTCTCAAAATGCTTTACAGTATCATTTACAATCAAAGAAATACACCCAGCAAGCAATTCATTGATCTGCGCAACAGAATGCATTATGAAAAAGACAAAGATCTTGAGAACAGTACCGGCAATTGCAAACGAGAGGTAGCCTAGTAGCTGATAAAATGGATGCAACAAAGATCACGTGTGAACCCCAGCCACACCTCACTCTGGATTCCGATTTGGCAACGATCAACGAGTTATTGATCGAACCATTAACAGCGGTGACTTTCCTAGAAATCATTACAACTGTTACAATTCAATCAAACGATATCATCACTTTCTCATTCATCAAAATGACAATTCGGCCTCCATTCGGCCATCGCATGCGTGACACCCATTTCCAATTCTCTTCCAGCTACACACCTCTAAACCACGGTTCTTTTGGCGCGTACCCACGTCCTATCCAACAAGCTCAAGATGCATTTCAGAAGCAGTGTACTGAAAGACCCAGTACATTCTACGTCTATGATCTTCCAGAACTCATTGATCAATCACGAGAAGCCGTTGCACCTCTTCTAGGTGCTGATCCAAAGGAAGTGGTTCTAATCCCGAATGCGACGACAGGTGTGAATACTGTATTGAGGAATCTGAAATGGGAGGAGGGAGATATGATTGTTTACTTTAGCACGATTTATGATGCGTGTGAGAAGACAATTGAAAGTGTAAGAGAGATGTTGGGAGTAGAAGTAGCGACGTATTGTCAGGTATTGGAGTTTCCGATTAATGAGGAGAGTAAATTAGGGGAATTCAAGGAGTTTGTAGAGTTAGTAAAAGCGATGGGTACGAAAGTTAAGTTGGCTATATTTGATACGGTAAGGTTCCCTCAATCTCACTTCAAACTGTCAGTAGTTCTGACATCACCTCTCATGTATTGTTTTGAGTGCATCTCATTTGACTTTGATTGGTGATCACGATTATCTTACAACGTCAATGACAGGTCCTGACATTCCCCGGTGTTCGAATGCCTTGGGAGAAGCTGGTACAGATATGCAAAGAACTAGGTGTCTTGAGTTTAATTGATGGTGCTCACGGTATCGGACACATCGATCTCACACACCTTGGCTCAGTCAGTCCCGACTTTTTCGTCAGTAACTGTCATAAGTATGATATCTTCTTCTTACGAAATTCGCATTCTAACCTACGGTAGATGGCTCTATACCCCTCGCTCCTGTGCAGTTTTTTATGTACCCCTCCGCAACCAACACCTCATTCGCACCTCCCTCCCTACATCTCACGGCTACCGCAAAATTTCCGAGAATGACACTTTGGAAGATATCAATAACTATTTCGTCTCAATGTTCAACTTCGTTGCAACCATTGACTACACACCATACCTATGCATCCCCGCCGCAATATCCTTCCGTAATACCATTTGCGGCGGCGAAGCATCGATTCGTCAATATTGTTTTGATCTTGCTAAAACAGGCGGTAACTTATGCGCTTCGACTCTGAATACACACACTCTCCCTATCTTGCCCGGAAGAGAAACGTTCTTTACCAACATTAAGCTACCAATATCCTTTTTGCGTGAGAGCAATGACAAGTCCCATGCAACATCCGAGACAACAGCATTCAAACCTGCCGATGCAGAAAAGATCAAAGTATGGCTCAACAAAACCGCAGTCAAAGAATTTGATACCTATCTGCAAATTGGATGGCATGCGAATGTGCTCTGGGTCAGGTTAAGCGCGCAAATATATCTTGAATTGAGAGATTTCGAGTGGGTAGGGGAGAAGTTAAAGGGATTATGTGAAAGAGTTAATGAGGGGGAAGTGGAAGGAACGAAGAGAGTGGATTTAGCGGGGGTTCCGGAGGCTCAGAGCTCGTTCATTTGTGGTAGCGCTTGTGATGATTAATTTGACAACTCAGTTGTGAATGATTCTTCCAAGTGAGTAGAACGACTGGATGCTGATTCTGCGGGTGGAGAATTTATGAGCCACAATCAGTTTTACCAAGTTTGAGAGTTGTGGACAATGAGATATCAACGTGACAAGACTGAATGTAGCGCGCCGCTTTTTTTTTTTTCAGTAAATGACATCTGGCATATGGCGTTAATGACAGGGGTTCAAGGAAATAATTTTCCATATCTTGATGAAGAGGCAACATCACATAGACTATAATTAACAATCAAATCTCTACCTTACTATTTAGTTGTTCGGGATAATAGCTCACAGATGGTATCATCTTGACTGCTGTCTGAAAAAGCCACACCAGCGATCACTTGAATAGCTTGCCAGTGAGAATAACCCTTCGGTGATGCATTTGAGTACTTTCGAAATCCTTAGCTATTCCTTCCAATTAGACCACATGTAACAATTACCGGAACACGACAGGTTTTCTCAGGCACAATTCGCCTCTGCTCGAGCCTTAGAATTACGCACTATGACTTAACAATCCTGCATATAAAATATATGCTGCTTCTTCACGCTCTTCCCTCGGATATCTCACCCACCAAACGTCGACAAATTAACAGGCATAAAGGCTTCAACTGTATCACCCTTCATCCCAATCTTACACCACCCATCAAATTCCCCCACATAAAACACTCCACCCTCCACCTCCTCACTCGTACTATTCCTCCAGGCAACTCCAAACGGCAGTCCAGACGGTATCCCCTCCACAGCCCCATTCCGAGCTACACTAAGACCTCCACAAACCACCATATCAAAGAAACCCGGCGGTGTAGTAGTATAGAGACCGCACGGGGTCGCTCGAGTTTCAAGGCCCGCAACACAGACGAGGACGAGCATGCAGGCGAATAAAAGGGCTGTGTAGATTTTGTACCAGAGACTTGTTATACATGGGATGATAGTGGTGGTGGAATTATTGGTCAGAAAATAGAATGTATAGATGGGGATTGAACAGACGAGGAAGATGGTGAAGAATATGACGACGAGGAATTGAGTAAGTGTGAAGAAGATATTCAGAGGGTAAGATGAAGTGTTATAAGGTACTAGATATAGGAGCGCTAGGGCCAGTAGAGCAAGTAACGGAAGCAGACAGAGGATCCGTACAATTATACCACGCCAGCTGCGGGGAGAGTGGAGATCAAGCGAGTGGACTGGGAATGGTTCGAGAAGTCCCAAGCTGAGAAGCGTTCGACTTGTGGGTGATTTGCGCCGTTTTAGTGTGCTAGCCAGGCTGTATCCGTCGCAAATTTTCGTTTCTCGATCACTATCGCCACCGACATCCACATCCACGTACGAATAATCATCAGATATCCAGACTGCCGCTGGTAGTCTTATTAATCCGCATATAGCTAGGGGTGCAAAAACCGTTCCCAATGAGATAGTGTTAGAATAGCCACCCCCGCTCAATCCTCCGACTAATTGCCAAATAGCTTGCAGCCCTTGCAATACAGTCGCTACTGTTTCAGCTGAGGTCTTCGAAACCCAAACCGCATGCGGAGAACTAGGAATGCGAGAACAAAAGCGTCGACTTTTCCGCATCATATTTTCCGAGCCATCCCAACCACTTGAAGTCCAGAAATGTGCATTACTAGCTGCCATATCTGCAGAATTCCATGCACGCGATCGTGCTCGTCGATCGATGATGGAGAAGTAACGCCATAGTATCGAAGTAGGATTATAGTGGCCGAGCCGCTCGTGCCAACGAGGTCGTGGGCTAGAGAGATAGACGGGCGATGGAACTCCGGCAACTATGTGAACAATGAGGGGGGCGAGACAGAGTGTGAATAGATTTATCCAGTCCGCGAAGAGAATCTCAGATGCTTGGTATGTAAATGGGAGAATGCCGTTGTATGGGAAGTTATTGCTCATTGTATATATGGTCTTGAGGTTGGCAATGAATTGGAATCGACAGAAAAATAAAGACTATTAGTATCGAAAGAAAGTTTGCAAGTAGTTCGCCGTTCAGTTTGATATTGATCTAAGATTCAAATATACATACTTTGAGAAAACTGCTGCAATACAATGTCGCACAGCGAACCTCATATTTGTCTTGACCACCCACTATGCCACAATTCTTATCGGGATAGGTAAGCAGCATGCTGGAGATGCAGGTACAAAGGCAACCAAGCTATTGAGGCACAGATAGGATAACGAATCGAAAAGTTCTGGTAACAGACACTTATCGTGTACCGGGACTCTTACGAAGTAACTCAACATCGGCCTTTCACACACCCCCGTGGGGGCCCAAGTACAAGAAAGTTTGCTGTGAACCGGTGCTGCGCCTTAACCCACGTTGAGCAAACACCACCGCGTTCGTAAAGCTGAAAGGATCTTTTGAAGCTATTTATATGGCCTCTGAATAATGTCGTGTATGTGAATACAGAGTGACGGAGTACATAGTGCAACAATATTCTCACCTCGGTACGAGCCGAGACCGGCGGAAACGCTAGCGTAACCCTTGTTTGACACTTTCCATTCAATTTCACAATATCACCTTGTAGAATCAAGCTTGACTTCACCCATCCATCGTGTTGAAATATTTGCATTTGAATTCCCTACAAGCTTCCTTTGGTTTTATCAATTTCTTAATACATGTAGCAGCGTGCTGATCTTGTCCCTCAAGTTCAGAGCTGGGTATCGTCCATTCAACTTTCATCGCTTCAATATCACGCTTCATTGACTGAATTTGTCCTGGTATCCGCAACGCTAACGTTTAATGCATGAGTTCAACCCTCCCGCTGATTCTGTTGTCCTATCTACGCAGATATTAGATCAACCAACTGGACTCCATGGCATTGGAATCAGCACGCGACTCTTCATATTTTGAATCAATGGCACAGTCTTGTGAACTGTATCTCCCCAGCCCTCGATCTCCCAACTTTGCTCTCTTCTCTTTTTCCTCTCCTCTAAATCCGCAAATTGCCACAAATGATGCACAGTGTTCAGTTCTCCGATTTGTACAAACCATGCTCCAACGCCTTCCATGACTTCTCGGCGAGCTTTTAGACCGCGGCGCCAATGAGTCTCCCATTCTAAGAGGTTTCCGGGGTGCAATGTGTAAGAGCGTAATTCAAAGAGACCACCGAGTTCACGGGGTGCAGTGGTAGGCCAGAAAGAGAATTCTTGCATGAGAGAAACGTTCTTCTTTGTAATGAGAGACTTGAGTTTCTTGTCGAATTCTTGGAAGTCAGGATGTGATGCGATACTGTGAAGGGAGTCATGGTAACCGTGATATCGTTGGTATTCCCAAATGTGAACTGTAATCATTCATCTGTCAGCGTTTGTAGGTGGAATAGATTCAAAAGTAAATGAGGATTGGAGCGTACCAAACGTATCACAATCTCCAACCTCTGTTCTCCAACTTCCAACTAAGTGTACTTTATTCTGTTCCATTCCAGCCATCTTTGGATACCATTCCCCAACCAATTGGACATACTCGTCAACCTTATCTGGCTTGACCTCATGAAACACGATCGAGTGTACATATTTGCCTCTAGCTAAAACCTGACTGAAACTCTGTTCAATCTCCTTTTCCATCTCACGACCTTCAGGAGTGCCATAAATTAAACTACTTAATTTTCCTTTCTTCTCACCATTTTCGTTTGTTTGCTCTACTCCATTTAGTGTATGGTCTGCCGAAGCAGATTTTTGAGCTTGGGAGGATAGTTTGGACTCACTTGCAGCTTCTTTCTTACGATGTTGTTCTGCGATTCTTTCTCGGAATTCTTTCTGCTTTGCATCGAATGAGGCTACACCTTGGGGGGTGATATTTGATAGGGCTGGTGTACGAGAGAGAGAGGTGGATGTAGTCGTGAAGGCCCTAAGAGGTTGACTCGTGATAGAGCTGCGTGAAATTCGTCGTGTAAACATTGTGAAGTTGTTGATTGATTATTGGTGTGGTCAATAGTTGTAACGATTATTGGGATTGTTGGAGATTGGCAGAAGGATTAACCCGATTTCGTAATTAAAAGTTCCACAATCTCAGAGAGGTGAAGGAAGGAATGTCGCTTGGTTAACTGAATAATTGAGGTTTTATTCTCCAATTGTCATCCAATTATCGTATAATGGGTTGTATTGTATCTTCGTACTTTCCGAAGCGCCGGTATGATGTCGTTGCCGTGGTTTATTTACCCCGTGTCGTCTCGTCTCTTCTCGCTCGTTTTTCGAATGCAAAGCAGAAATAGAATTCAATATTCTACTACAGAATTGTTGTTGTTTCCTCCTCTCTTTCTTGGAGATGCAATCAACAGAAACAAAGGAAGATGGAAGCTGCAAAGTAGGCTTGGTTTAGGTTTAATAAGTTTGTAGCACAAGAAACCATATAATTGGCTAAAATGGAATCCAACAATAGCAAGCTTGCCAAATACCCCGCACTTTTTGACTGTTTTGTCCGTCTCAAAGTATAAAAACGAGGATGAAATAGTGAATAGCTCGAGCGGGAAAGGATCAAAATGGTATGGGCAGAAATAGATTGGTTGAAAGGTTCGTGTGGTTACAATACTTTGGAGGTGTGATGTGAGAGAGAGAGAGGAATTGGTGAATGAACTGAAAGGGGAAAAGAGGACAACCAAGCTGCAGCTGGGCAGTGACGAAAGTGAGGAGTAAAGCAGGGATGTGGTGGCTCCATTTCGGATGAATGTGAGGGTTTGCGGGCTTGCGGGCTTGCGGGCTTGGAGTCTCTTGTGGAGGCCAATCAAAATTGAGATTCTGTCTTGTATCCATTTGATTTGTATGGGGAAGTGAAGCTGAAGGTGTCGATTCACGTGAAGATAGGCCAATGATCGTAGACTAAACTGAATGAGGAAAGCGTGGGCTTTTGGCCTCATGCACAAGGCACTTGATTTTTTGGGAAAACGTGATATGTCACTAACCCCAATACATTCTAGCCTCGTTTTGTTGCGGCCCTTCCCATAGTTGACCTCACTACTATTATAGGAATCACCACCACCGTCTAACCTCCAATCAACCCTCCGGTACATTTTCAATCGTATTCCACAGCACAAATTCACAATGTCTTGGTTAGGAAAGAAGTTCCCTGCGCCTGTCGGTATGTGAAGCCATTCAATTGCAAGCTGTGAAAAGCTTTCGTTCCGCACTTTTCCGATCTCCAAGTAATGTTTACTGATAAAATTGTGTTTTTAGCAAAGCCAATGGCTCCTTTCTTCGTTGCCGGTATGTTACTCTGAGAGCCATTCATCCCAAGCATATCACGAAATGCGAAGTTCGAAAGCATCTGGAACTGGGGGGGAACGGCAAGGCTGGAGCCTGAACTATGGGCTAATGTTACTTGGGGAATTAGGTGCCGTCATTATGTACGGAATCAACTCTGCTGCTATCGCAATGGCCAACAGTACGTCTATTCTATTGCTTGTCTGCGCACGTGGACCTTGAAGATACGCTTATGAAGGGATACTGACAAGAATGGCTATTACAGGCGAGGAGTTCAAGAACGATCCTAGAAACCCAAACGCAAAGACCCCAAAGCCAGCCGATAAACACTAAATGGGAGAAACATATGATAGGGGGCATGGTGACTGAGAACTTGCATAGATCGAACCTATGATAGATCGGTTGAGCGGGGCGTTCGTTCCCGTGATGGGTGATATGTAAATTAGGAGACAATGAAATCATCTGGTGTCCTATAAAGGAAGATCTTGCACTGTGATTTATCGTGTAGGTTTGAGGATACTAACAATATCTTGAGTTTGACCTGCAAATCAGTCGTTTCGAGCGAATTTTCATGGCATGAGTATGGGGAAATATCGAGTGAATAGCCTCGAGCGGGGATATCACATGCCTAACAAGTCCTATTGTATTCTCTCCTTCTTACCATTGTCCAAGTATAGGGGCGTAGTATGGAACTTTTGTCTTCGAAGGTTTGTTTTCAAAATTGGAGATTGCTTTGAGTTTGAACTGATTGGTGGCAATCAGTGATTTACATGTTGCTTTGATATTAGGTAGGTAGTCTTGCAATGTCAAGTCTAGTGAACTGGTAAAGCATGTCTTGCTTGTCTTCACTGTTCTTCTCGATTTTCTGATATACTTTAATCATTCATATTTCTTCATCACGTAGCATGACTATGTTCAAGTTGCAAGTGCTCAAAATCAAATGTCTTTGCGTTCAAGCATATGAAAGGCCTAGTCATATACCTCCCCCTCTCTCTCAAAGTATTGTTCAGATCAAAGCAGTCCAACTAGTTTGTCTGAAAACCAAGCTCGAATTATGTGACCTGTTTCACAACCAGTAGCATTCATGTCTCTGTTCTTCTATTGCCCAAAATTGTTCACACAGAAGTCACCTCGGTCCTTGCAATTCCCGAAGAACCCAAGGATATAGTGAATTCAAATTATGACACTTATGACACCTGATTGACCTTCCTGTTGCCTATAGCTCGACCCTGCACGGACCCCATAACAATCTTGAATCATAATAAACCCTCCTCTTCTCATCAATTCTCAACTTCGACCTACAAACCTCTTACTTGATACTTCCAACAAACAACTTCTTTTTCAACAAGTTTGCAAATCTATTGTTGTTGTGCTTGCCACAATAACTGTAGTTTTTGGACTACCCCTCTTTGATATTGTACAAAAACCACAACCTTTTGCAAGTTTCCACAAGTCTTCAACTTCGAGCCCTTGACGTGGAAAGTTGAAACTCCTCTTAATCAATCCAACTTACAGAAATCGATAAGCACATATTGCATTCTTTACTGCAACATGACGCGCCAACCTTCCGATCAATCTCTCGACGCCCCTGGTCAACCCGCCAACCTTTTGCCTATTCCTACTACCCAATCCATTCCTCAATCTGCCCCTCCTTCCCAAAAGTCTGCTGTTCAACAAACATCATCCTCGGACCATGTTTATCAATCTATAAATGCTGCGTCCTGCAGCCGTAGACAAGGCGGAGAAGATGTTTTCGTACCACCTCCACGATTGACGTACTTGGATTTGTTGATCATTGAAAATTCGGGATTTCCAAGTATGGCTGAGTTTGAGATCTTCCTCCAGCTGTACCAGAAATCATATTATCACATGGAACTAGCGGAACGCAAAAAGCTCCTCCAGCAAGTGGAGCTACTTCGACAAAGTATGCGCCATCCTCAATCGATTCAAGCGCTGGTAGAAGCACAGCAGAGTATTCAGGCCGGTCAACCGTTTCTCAGCCTCAAACATTATTCAAACTTCAGCCGAAATGGATATATGCTTACCTCCATGATCAGTCGCTGCCTTAATCTTACCTCTTTCGCTCTGCAGCGAGCCGTTTTTAAGGCCGCAGTAGAAGCAAGTAGGAACACCGACACGCCAAACATAGCAACCATTTCAGGCAAAAGCTGTGAAGACATTGTAAGCATTTTTCTCTTCGTCTTTGTCAAGAAACAAACTAATATTTGTGCCAGTTGACCCGTGGTGTACAACACTGGACCGCTGAGGATATCTTGAAGCTTGAGACGATCGTCTACATCCGCCCCGCTGAGCACCACGTCAACAACCCTCCATCTAAGGTCACTTCGCGTACTGATTTTTCATATTTCTCGCACGAACCACCTCTTCATTGCCCGGATCCTCCTGAGTATCGAAGTATGAAAATCGAGCCAAACAATTCCGCTTTGTCCTTGCAACAACCATGGACATACAGCCAGTGTTTGGACTACCTCGCTGATCGGACAATAAACTTCATGAATTCTCGTGATCCAGAAGCTTTCTTCTTCAGCTTGCCTTCGGACGACAAGCTTCAAGGCATGACGGTGGATCAACGCGCAGAGGTTGTTCGTAAACACATTATAGAGCAAGATGCAAAGCGTGCTCTATCAAAGTCAGGCAATGATTGGTACCCCATTCATTCGAAAATTTTCGAGCGTTCCACTTATCGTACACACGGTAGTTTGCTTCCGGAGCTTGATACTACTGTATCAATCTCAAGAGATAGCCCTTGCATCCAGGAAAATCTTGCTAATCATCGAAACTACGGAACCCATGATATATGCAGTAGTGGAGGTAGACATGAATTTGATTCACCACCTTCAAACTCTGGTGCAGATTACGAAAGTAGAGTGGGACATGTACGTCAGCCGCCATCGAGCATTGCGGCAGATGATGGATGTTGCGATTCAGACCTGGGAGATGACGATGATTCTGATTGGGTTCCCACTCAATCCGACAATTGGAGTTCGCCATCGAGATCAACAAAGCGTGTATCCTTCGCTGCATCGGTGACAGACATACCAGGGAATCTTCATGGACAGGAACATAGTATCGTTCCATCTGATTCCCTCTCCTTTGCAGAGTCAGAGTCAGAGAATGATCAAGCGACCACTGAAGACAATGGATCATTGAGCGAAAACATTCGTGATCGTCAAGATTGTCTTTTGACAGCTTCTGTAGCTCATGCTACTTCTGCGATCGAAGTTACACTGGCTTCCGGTGATGAAAACGATGTTATTGTCCCAGTTAGCCCACCTCGTGCCCCTTCCTTGAAGAGAGAAAATAGAAAGCGCTCATTGACTCGAGGTCGTCTAGTAGCTCAACCACGTGCTCAACGACGCGGTGGGGATTTTGATACCTTGCTTGATACTTTGGAGACATACCATTCGCAATTGTCCTCGCTCCCAAAGTTAAACAATGTGAAGCTCAATTCTTGGGATGAGAAACATCAAACGGCTACCAAAAAGTCTCAAGGTATCAAAGCTCAAGAGATTTTGTTTCCTACATGGGAAGGGGTTCAGGTGCAACGCGGCGTTTCAAATATTGGATATGGCCCTCAAGAAGATTCGATGCTAGCCATGCAAGAAATGTTACTCGAGCAGCAAAGAAAGAAGAGAATCCAATTATTGCAGGAACAGGCTGCTATGCAAGCTAGACTTGTCTCAAAAACTGGTCCAGAAAATGATCATGACCTTGAAGCTTCAGCACATGAGCCGGCATTGTTAACAACTGAACAGGAAAGCAAGAACCAAGTTGAATTGAAACGCCAAGAACAGGTTACCATGCCAGCTGCTTATCCCTCCTCGGAGAAAGATGGTCAAACAAAGCCTAGGGAATCTTCTCTTGTTTCTTTCGGAAATGAAAAATCTATCCTCAACGGTCCCCCAAAATTTCACGGTCTCACATCGAAGGAAGCTCAGCAATTCGAACTTTGTCAGCTTGGAAAGCTTAAGAACCGTTCCGTGCTCAAGGCTCCCCGTGTCGGAAAGACTATTGCTTCTACCAGAGCTTCCAAAGACAGTGAACAAGACATGGCCACCAAGTTGGATGATCTTAAGAAATTTGCGGATGAGTTCAAGATGTCCACCCCAGTGCCAAGTGACATTGCATTTATCAATCACGGTGAGGTTCCCGTGGCTGTCTGGCAGAATCGCTCTCGGGATAGTGCTAACACTTGCGATGAAGGTCCTCTTCGTATTGCTATCAAAGAAGACAATCTTCGTCGTTCTAAGGGTGCTCCAATTGATGAGTCTAATGTGAAAACCATCTCGGTTGAAGAAGCTACTCGTCTTCTTGCTGCTCAGAAGTTAGCTAAAGAGATCTCGACTGCTACAAAGTCTGCAACTGGTACCTCTCCTCCCATTCCTGCAAGTCATCAATTGAATGGTTTTGATCTCGGCCTTACAGCTACAGCATATGATCAAGACCGTTTCATAAAAGCTACCAATAGCAGCGTCAAGAGTCACAAGGCTAACCATGGTATTTACAGCTTCCAACAAGACGGTTCAATGAATGCCAAGTGCAGAAGTTGTTCCGAGAGATCGAGATTGAGATCGAGATTCAATGATTTAAGTGGCGAGCTGTTCTGAGCAAGTGACGATTGATGATGAATACGAATATTGCGAATTGATACATGGAAGAGAGATGGTGGGAAAGAAACAACTTGTTTCTATTTATTCGAAGTTCTGAAATAGATGCCGCTATTAGGGTTGTGGGATCAAGGTCAAATGAGCTATGCCGCATATTCAGAGTCAGGAAGGCTCATAACTAGTTACTCTAAGGAGAATTAGACATTAATGTGGACAGTGCAGGTAGTCTAATTCATTAATTGATTCTATGCAAAAGGATCCTTGGTTCTACTGATTGACCTGAAGACTGCAGTTTCTACTAAGGTGGCTCTACCTCCACTGTGCCCAGTACTACATGACCACGTGCTAGTGGCTGGTGTGGATAATGAGAACTTGGTGAATAGATTCACTTACGAAAAACAATCTGTAGATAAGATTTGTGATTTTTCTTGCTCTCTTTTTCTATAGCTGTGTAAATCTTTCGACGGCTGAGAAGTTCCTGGTGAATATAGAAAAACGTTCCGAGGGCGAATTTTGAGTCTCTGATATTTTCAAGTCGCTTTTATCTAGAAGCTTTAGTTCTTCTCCCTTTTACACCATTTTTCACCTCAATCTACCTCCCTCTCCTTCTCTATCCTCCCCATATTTGAACTATTACTTGCAACGATGGATTTGTCTCATCGCTCACTCCATCTAAGTGGTATGTTATCGTTTAAACTCATCGTGTGTGTCGAAACTCTGACTTGCCAATCCCCTCTAGATTCCATAAACAAGATGTATTTAGTGTTTCGCGTTCCCCGACTCCACCCGATCCCTCGTATACATACCGAAAGTCTCATTTGTTTCCTGGCATTTTGCAAAAGTTTCTTGACGCTATCCGAATTCTACCGCGTTCGCTATAACAAGAAGAATACTCGAGACGCTTTCTTGAATTCGTTCGCTCATCAATACATTGAACAAAATCTACACGGAATTTCATTCAAACGCATGTGTGATTTAGTCCAAGATATATGGACTGCGAAACACTTTCTTGCTGGATCTGACTTGAACAAGCTTTTCGAGGGCGCTTCCTATGAGCGACAGCAAGATGCTGCTTTTCGAAGACTTATCAACGTCCCACTATTATGAGGCATTGGAAACTAATATCTGGCTGTCGAACCATCAGTCACATTACAAACCGCGTATCGCCCCATCTTTCAGGATTAGAAAATTACCTTCAACACGTCCACGTCCTTTGCCACGCGTGGAACCTGCTCAACTCAACTTTAATCAGGGTTACATGTCTAAATATCGACCAGTATCTGGCCCTTTCAAACCTTGCCTTGGTCCTTACGAAGATGATTATGAGTGCAGCACAGCCCTTCCCTTCCCTTCCCTTTCCAACATTCTATCCTCACGACACTCCAAAATCTCATTGAAGAATCGCTATTCAGCTTCGCATCTCAACACTTTCCCGCATACCTAGCTTTGAACTTCAAAACTTGCCCTAAGTCTATTGAGCTAAGCACCTGGAGAACGCATCTACACATAAACGCTCGTAATATTCGGCTCAATCCTACCTCTGGTTATGTTCTTGAAGACTTGCATTTCTTTTTGCATCGCTTGGATACAGTGAGACAATTAGCTGTACATCGGAGACATGGTGAGCAGACTGAATGCACTCTCAATATTAGGATAGAGCAATGGCTAACAAAGTCAGGGGTTCCTATTGAAGCAATCAATAGCATGTGCGCAGATAGCATTTGCTTGGCAAGAGCTTTAGAAGATCCACGAGCAGTTTTGCTAGGCTTGATACAGCAAAAAGTGCTCATGGTTTCAGAAACACTGACCATGAAATCCAATCTTCATTTTTTCATCAAGGCCAGACGACGGGAAGCAACAAAAGACGCTATGATCCTAAGAAGTATACTTTTACTCTAGGCAATATTTCAGAACGAGTAGACATTCTCCATTAGATAGCAATTCAGAACTTTTGATTGCTTCAATGTTGTAGCATCTTGGCATAATCCTTTATGTTGTATCAGTTCCTTATTTTTGAACCAATCATCACTTCGAATTTACAAAGTATTTCGAACAAGCCCATAGATGAGCTTCTCTGTCATTATACCACAAGGGGTCTTTGTAACACTAGAGATGTTCCAGCCTTCATGACTTTATATATTGAGTACCAGAGGGGAGGGGAATTGGTAAGAATTGAATCGTAGAGATGTTTGATGTTTGACATGGAGCTCTTTCAATCTATTCCATGTGTATCTGCTTCTTTCATTATTGATCTAAGGATATATATATGCTTTTGCCAAGTGATTTAGTAAGAAATTGTCTTTTTTTTCCTTTCACACCAACCATATAAGCAGCTAGAAGTTCCCCGAAATTTACCACACCAGGTCAAAGTCAAGCCGTCCAATACAAATCAAATCTTCCGCGCTTCTCAGCATTAGATCTTTCCATCGACGTACTCTCAAAAGACCCTTACTCTGAATCTGCACTTCTGATACCAGATCGAAGTTCTTCCAATTCAATATGAATGGCGGTCTTTGTCTCTGCGATATTTGCTGTTCGGAAGACGCGTCAGAAACCTCTGAAGACTCGCCACCGCAGTCGCCAGCTCAGAATACAAAACAAAAGGAAGAAGAGCTCGATGAAGAGTATAACCAATGGTGCGATAGTCTCACTGAGATCAAAGAGTATGAAGAAGGATTAGAACAAACTTTAAAACAGGGTCATGAATTCTTTGAGAATAATTTTCGACGAGTCGTGAAAAGGAAGTATGGGCGGATTTCCAATGATAAATGTGAAAGTATGAAGACAAAATGGGAAGAAATGGAGGAGAGAGGCGGAGAGGGGCTTGAATGCTACATAGAGTGGAATTTAACGGGTGAATTTGGGAATGACGGCGGTAGCGACCGTGAGATCGATGACGATAATAATGATGTGGTGGGACTTGAAAGTGATGAAGAGAAGGATAAGTACCAGAAAGTCGGTGATGGTGATTGGGAATGTTCTACTGAAGATTTGGGAGCGGCTATATGGGAGTATGAGGAGCTTGTTGGTTCGTTACACGGCGACGATCGACGTATGGCGCAGTGCTGTGTGTGAAGATGTCTAGAGTAACACAGTCCATTATGCGCTGCAAACTCAACTTTAACATGAGAAATTCTTTGACCCAATGAATTGTTCCGAAATTGAACTTGGTATACGGAGTATTTTCGTGGTGCTGTGTTGACATCTCAAGATTCCAGTACGGCGAATTTTTCTTTCTCGTCACTTATAAACAACATTCACCACGCCTTCCACAACTCGAAGAATTACAACCGCTCTAAAAGTATACACATTTAACATTCAATCACTTATCCATTGTAAAGTTCAAACATGCCCTATCAACAGCCCCACAACTTACGGGAACAAAAAAGGAAAGATCGAAGCACAACTCTCGAGAGGTCGCTTTCCTCCATTACTCTATCTCTCGCAAGATTTAGAAAAAGACGATCTTCAAGCTCAAGAATAACAAATCAAGGTCCGGTGTTCACAGTTACGCTTCAGAAAAAAAAAGATTCTGGCCAGGATCGTGCTGCCACCGGAGTGTCTATCAAGATCGGAGAAGGTTCGCCAGCATTAGAGATTTCTATAGGATCCATCGCAGCAACGAAAGCAAAGACAAAACACACAAGCTGTTGGAGTTCACGTACCAAAGTTACCTCATCCCTTTCGAGCTTTCCAAATCTGGAGACAGATATGCATGTACCTCGAAACTCAGTTCAAACCATCGGTTCTCTATCATCAGATATGAGTTCAGATAAGGAACTCAAGAGTCGCAGCATTCACTTTCCTGTAAAACTACCTGAGTTGCAGAGAATGAATATGCAGGATAATTTTATAAAGAGTCTGATAAGCAAGCTTACGAAAGAGAGACGGGAGAAAAGATTGGTACTGCGAGGCTCGAGGAGATACAGATATCTGGCCACCGTGAAGAGAGTTATGGATAGTGGTTGGGCCATTCAGTCGCAGGTTTTAGACAAGCTCAAACGGGGGAGGAAAAGGAAGTTTGATGAACAGAGTATCTAGCTGTATTTTGATGGCAGTTCACGTATACATTTGGTCAATATGTTGGAACTTGCCATTCTTTCGGTCAGACATCGGTTACACTTATCTAAGCTAGGACGATTAGATGGGGGATCGTTACAAGAACGGTTTAATCCTCAACTGTGAATCTAGTCTTGATTTTAACTGGCCATTTGAAGCGTCGATGAGGCATGATTGGAAGCGTTCAAATTTGAAGACCCATTCCAGTTAGTTACAGATAGTGAGAATAGACAGATATGACTCTGGAGTAATCGAATGGGGTTGAGTTTGTTCTGGAGCAGAAATTCGGGTTTGGACGAAGATGGGCATGTTTTGGGAGAAGAAATGAATCGACTAACGCATTCATAGGAATGTGCCGAGGGGACTTTAGTGTTTTCATACCGAAGTACCAAGAATTGCGACTGCGGGGACTTTACTGAAGTTGCATATAGCCTATACATATTTAACTCGTGAAAATCATTGAAGTCTTCAACTTAATTGCATTACCGTGTATCTAACATCATCTTCACTTTCAAATATTATCACCATGAGAAGCTCACGAAAAAGATACACAAGTAAATTCAAATGTTACGATCAATGAAGAAACTATAGATTGATGAATGTACCAATAATTTCTTCTCATTCTCATCCAACAAAATTTACATGATTAAACAAAGATTCACTCTTCAACCAAACCTGACCTCCGGACAAATTGATAAGGCAGAGCGCACCAGCCCTGAATAGCTCGACAGCGTTAAAAGCAATAGAGGTGAAAATAAATCCTTAACTTTAAATTAAATAAGGAAAAAAGTATCAAAAATCATGCCGCAAAGACAAAACCTCCACCTGCAGAAAAATCCAAACCCACAGTAAGGATTCTGAGATTTGTTCTACAGGTATCATTGATCCCAACCCAACATTCAAACCATATTCCGAACAAAGTTTCAATATCTCATCCTGTGATACCACAAGTCGCCGTGATTCTCCACTCGCTCAAACCTCAGTTCTCGATTCAACTCCCTCTGTTCATTGTTCTTCAACTTTCACAGTGGATCGAATAATGAGCAAAGGGTTCTTTGACTAGATGAACTCTACATGCGTTTAGTTGTTAGACCATGCTCTGTGTTGATTCCAGCCTGATAGTTGTGTAGCACACACCCAGTCACATTACACTGTACATACGCGTTCAAGCTTAATAGAAGGAAATGTTATTGTGGCATCCACACTCAATATTCACTTGATCCCCAAAGTAAAAAAAGCTTATTACCTACCGCATCCGCAGAAAATCAAGACGAATCAATAGAACTGAAATTCAAAATGACTATCCCAAAGCCTAAAGTGATTAGTTTCGCGAAACAAAAGGTGCGAAGCCCCAGCCTGCTCTTTCCAGGGAAGGATTGTCATTAGTCCCACCTACTAACTTGATTTCAAGCTGAGTAATTGTAAAAGACGAATTCAGAGTTTGAACGAGTTAAAAGTGAATTGTAGCCAAGGATCGGAACACTTTGTTACTCAATAATTTCTGCTAGTTGAAATTTGTATAGGATTGCAAAGTAGACGTTAAGCGAGGTGTGTTAGCATTTCTCCACTTTACTTCGCAAAAATGATGCGATCATCAATTTGCAATTGGATCGGTGAAAACAGCACGATTGAACCAAATATAGAATCACGATCCGTGGAATTCTTTAATAATACTGATATGAACTTGGGTCTTCAGGATACATTATGACATTAAAATCTCGAATAAACACAAGGGCGCTTCTCAAGTTACTTCCTGCACGAATCGTCTGCATTCAAGGCCCAATGTGTCTAACCGATTTTTTGACCTGTTCATTAATCTCTCCTTCACCCTAGAATTACTGAGCTCTTGGTAGTCCTGGCTGTAGTCTGTTCATTTATATTCCGTGCCAAAAATGATTCAATTGTTGTTTCAAAGTTATCGTCACGTGTTGGCAACAGGAAGCACATAACCGTATTCTAAGATCGATGAACTCCATGTGTCTTCAAAAAAAAAAGTCATTCTCGACTCTAATATTCTTGAGAGGACAAGTCTAAGGACTTAATCTCTTTGGTGTTCTTGGGTAATCGCAAACCAAATGCACACTGGGCAAATTCAAATACCAAGCCACAACTCTATCCAGACCAATTCCTCCACCACCGTGAGGAGGCACACCGACACTCTTGAACACATCTACATATTCTTTAATACCAGGTTGGTTGGGGTCCAAGCCCTTCGATCTGATCACCTCCTCCAGTTGCTCTGGTAAATGTAATCGTTGACCACCACTCAGAATTTCCTGTCCACGCATCATGAAATCATATGCGTTGGTGACGGCAGGATTTTCGGGATCTGGCATCGCGTAGAAGGGACGAGCATCGACTGGGAATTTGTCGAGGACATAGAAATCAGTATTAAACTTCTTACGAACGAGTGCTCCGAGAGCCTTTTCTTGAGGTGTGCTCATATCCTCAGTGTCGGTGACGTTTCTGAATTCTTCGGGCCCTTCTTCACGAAGGAGCTTTTGACCTTCGGCAAAAGTAAGACGGACCTCCTTGCCAGGTTCGGGAAGAAGGAACTCATCGGATGGGTAAATTGAGCGGATAAGCTCAATTTCTTCACGGTAGTTCTCGGCAAGGTTGCGGAAAATGAAGAGAAGAACACCTTCGAGCATGTGCAAGACTTCGTGATAATGTTCATCAATTTCCATCTCCAAATCAAGACCAATGAACTAGAAACAATTTAGCATTTCATCATCTTTGCAGAGCAGGGTTTATTACCTCAGTCATGTGTCTTGGAGTATTCGAATTCTCTGCACGGAAAACAGGTCCAACACAGTAGACTCTCTTTCGGCCTCCGGCGATTTCAAATTGTTTGTAGAATTGTGGGGATTGGGCGAGATAAGCTTCTTTGTCGAAGTATGGCATTCTGAAAACGTTTGCACCGCCTTCGGAAGCAGCTCCGATCAAACAAGGAGGATGAAATTTCTTGAAACGATGGCTTCTCAGATAGTCGCAGAAGTAGTCCTCGACAGCGATCCGAATATCAGCGATAGCTTGGCTGACAGGTGCTCGTTTGTGCATAGCGGGGTTGTTAAGGTGAGAGGCCAGACTGGCTGTTGGAGTGCCTTCTGTGACACTGAGACCTACGTAAGTGTTAGTTCATTAGTACAGATCATTGTAGGATATTGATTTACCGGCAGCAGCTTCACTAAGATCTTCTTCCTCATCCAACTTCCCTACAGCTCTGCTCGCTGGTCCCAATCCCAACCCCAACATCTCAGGTGCAGTAGCTACTAAGTAAACTTTTCCAAGATGTAATTCGAAGTTTGAAACCTTTGTGCTCTTAACAGGCTCCAATGGCTTCTGTACAACAGCCTCAACGGCAACAAAACTCTCCAACTTTAACCCGCCGATCCATTTGACCATTTGTTTGCTGACTGGCTTGCCCTCCGCGCTGGCACTCACAACTCCCTGGACTGTCCAGTTACCCTCCTCTCTTAACTCCACAAACGCCATCTTCGCTCCTTGCATTCTTGCATTTTGAATCCATGCGCGAACCTTGATTGTCTTGCCGATATGCTGTTCTCCAATCTCCCTCAGATGTACACTTTCGGCTTCGAGCTTAGTGGTGTGTTTAATTTGTCCGTAATTATCTTTCGCAAGATCTTCAGCAGCAGCAGATCCAGCGGCAGCTTGTTTAGCAGCTTGCTCGGCGGCTTTGCGTGCCTTTTCTGCTTCCTTCTTGGCTTTGGCTTCTGCTTTTTTGGCTCCTTTCTTGGAGGGTTGTGCGGGGTCTTCACCGGCAGGTGGGGCGCCTCCAGCTGCGATGGCGGGGTCGGTTGGAATTTCTTTACTTGGTTCCGCCATCTTTGCGATTGTGAAGAGATTGGCTGTAAGATCGGGTGGTGTTGAATGATAAATTTCACGTTTATAAATAAAGTAAAAAATAATGGAGGGGTACTCTTGTATAAGTTGTGGTTATGTTATGAGTAATGCGGCAAGAATTTAAGCGCTAAGGTCATAGCTTTTTTTTCGGACAGGGGTCACACAATCAGATGTCATCGTTGAGATTTTTGTGTATATTCTTCTTTTGAACATAACATAGGTAATCTGGCTACTGAGATAATTCTATATGACCATTCGTTCAACCCGTAGGTAAAGTCGTCGTAATGATTCAACACATACCAACCACCTCAACTGCCATCTTTGTCGACCTATTATGAAGAGTCACTGGGTGAATCTTATTCATTTCCCCAGTTGGAGTCACGACGAGGTTGGATGGCTCTGCTGGCTTTCTGATACGTGCTACGCTGAGAATTGATGTCTTACCCGAGTTGAGTGGTTCTTCAAAATCCATTTCTTGTCCAGAATTTATAACCTCTCCTGAGCTGAGGATCTTTAGTAATTTGAGTAGTACGTCTCTCGAGTTGAATACTGCTTCTAGATCAATTAGGAGTCTATCGTTCGTTCTAGGCTAAGTGTGTCTGCTAGGTCAACCACTTTCCCTGATTCATGCAACACTTCTGCTGATTCAACTATTTTTCTTCAACCGATTATTTCTCCTGAATGTACTGTCTGCACTGTGTTAAGAATATCTTCTAAGTTGTGAACTCTTCCTGGACCAAGTGATTTTCTTCTCAAGTCAAGGACTTCTCCCAGATCAATTACTGCAATTTGAATTCAGACGCTATAAGCTCACGAGAAAAGTCCAGCAAACATTTTTTTGCCGAAAAACTATATTTTATGAAGAAGGGGCAATTTTCTACTAAGCTTAACTATAGTTCTCGAGTAATTCTATTTGGGAACGTCTTAGCTGACATGCATTGATTTTGCGTTGTGAGATATGCCCTCTTCTCCTGTGTTTCCAGATGTCCGACATAACCATCCCATTCACCATTAACTTTTCCCGAATCCTGATCCTAAAGAGAACATCAAGCAAGTTTATAAGCCAGTTGGTACTTTTGATAAAATATAAAACACTACTTGAGTAATTTGCCAAAACATTACAATTCACCGGTAGGAATTTTGAACGCCGTGCTCATTGGTGAGCAATTCCCCTCTTCACTGCTAGAGTCCTCAATCTGTGTATAATCTTGGAGATTGCTACAGATATAGATAGTACCCGTTTGATTGGAGAATCCGTTGAAACGCGTCGCTGTAGCTGAAGTATAAGCTGCAATTAAAGTCAGTCAACCATCAGGAAGAGTGGTTCGGTCTGAGTTCTCACCTCCCATATTTCTGTACACCAAAAAATCACCAACTTTAACTTCGCAGCCGAAAGTGGTGCTCCGACTCACACAATCTGTACTGTCACATGTTGGCCCCCAAATCTTGTAGGTATGATTCCCAGTCTTGCGTGCAATCGTCGTATTTAGTTTGCTTTTGATCAACGTTGGCATGAACTCTTCCTTTTCAATGAGCCCATTCATAAAGTTTCCGTATACACCATCGTTTTGATATAACATTTCTAGATTTTTGGAAGATTCTGTCGTCGTTGACACCCGGCGTGCTATGATTTTGCAGATAAGTGTGAATGCGCTGCGCGCATAGAAACGTCCAGGCTCTGCAATGAAAGTTGTTTGCTCTGGAAATACTGCTTTAGATATGGCGTTAGATACAGCTGTGGCCATATCTCCAAATTCAGATTCTGTGGACTGAAATCCACCGCCAATATCGAGGATTCTTAAGGAAAATCCTAAAGATTCTGCAATATCCCAGACCAATCTTGAATCTTGAACGGCTTTTTGAATTACTGCGGGATCTGAAGCACCCGATCCTTGACATAAAGTTAACTCTGTAGCATATCACCATTATGGGAGGGCTCTCTACCGATATGAAAACTAGTTCCAACGACATCCATACCCAGTTTTCTCGCGCGTACAAGAAGTGCTTGAGCCGATTCCAGTGGCGCACCGTATTTGTCACCTAGGGCAACAAGAGCACTGTTATCATTTGCAAAAATTCTAAGCATCAGTTGTGCGTTAGGCATGTATTTGTTTATGCTATCCAGCTCGTCGAGATTGTCGAAGGTCGTCTTTCTTATGCCGGCATTGTAGGCAAAAGCAAGTGCTTCGGGTGCCTTGCATGGATTCGCAAAGATAATGCTGCCAGGATGAGCACCCAATGATAGAACGGTATGCATTTCCTCCACGGATGCACAGTCAAATCCAACGCCGAGTTGCATGAGTATTCTCAGCATCACGGTGTCAGTATTACATTTAACGGCTAATTTGCACATCAGTTCCATAGAATACAAAAGTTGCTGAGCTCCATCTTACCATAGAACGGCCGGACGAAAGGCAGATGAGATACCCAAAGATCATGTTGACGTCGAATCACTTCTATATCTACAACGAAAAATGGATCGTTATAGCCAAGTATATGTGGGAATTGTTCTATATGAGCAATCTGTTGGTATATGGTGTTATTCAATAATTGTTCTGCGGGTTTTGGTGATCCTCTGCAAGTGCTGGTAGTTAAATCCGACATAGTTGAAAGGAATCGGTTGGTTTTCCCAGAAGTTTGATTCTGAAGCACGCAGCATCTTCGTGAGTTGGGTTTTGTAAAAATTTCATGACAATCAATCTAAGGGAGAGACCCTTTACGTATTTGTGCCACACTAAACCTCAGACCTACCGGGGTCACTAAATCTTAGATATTGGCTACACAAAATCTGAGATGTCTGTTTCAGATCATACAGCTTGTATTGAAAAACACACATGTCTCACCGCGGGACATTTTGCGAGTGGCATATGCCTTGAACTCTGCACCTCATAAAGTCCTGGAGTTTTTGGATATGGCCATTACACATTCATAAAGATGAATGTTCTTTTCAATTGTTACAAACTTCCCAGAAGTTAATAAAAAGAACTGTTATGGCTAGTCGAAGAAAAGAAAGTGGCGGCTATAGTCCATTTTCTCTAAGGGGACGGAGTGGCACCTCTCCCGATTTACTTTATAAGGTTCTGCCAATGTTCCTGGCATTCTAGCCACGGATTTTTCAAATCGTTCAGTTATTTGAAATGTATTCATTGAGTCTGAAGGCATTGGAGGCATGGCGAAGAAATCAGAAAAGCTGAGATATCAACACCGAGCAGACACCGCCAGAGCGAAACACTTTTCTCTAGGTGCGTTGCCCCTGCAACAGCAGCCTTTATTAACACAGTTGGAGCGGAATTTTGAATCCAAGAATGCTAAATTCATACGCATTCGAGGCAAACGCTGTCGTTATACTTCAATCAATTTCACTTCAGGGGCTCCTTTTTTCAATAGCAGCGGCAGCCTTGAACTATGTAAGTGATTATTTTGCCAAATCGAATGTTCCATAACTTAAAAAATCAACAAATTCAAGGGAAAAATGACGAATGTTTCGATGCTGCATAGTGTTTCAGCCTATTGTTGAAGAGCATACCCTTATTGGGCCTGACAATCACGCCAATTCATGGGGAAATACATGTTATTTGGAGAAGATCGATAGCCATCTGAAACAATTCCATTTTGTCAATGCCGATCAATGCTGATTATTAGGAGGACCTGCTTCCGTTTGTGGCCCGTGTTGCAGTTACTCAATGCATGGTTGACAGAGCAACATTGTCAATCTAGTTAAAGATTTCTACGTCACATGGGCCAAAATCGCTAGACCTTTGAATATTACACGAATTCTAGGATCAAAAACAATTCATTACAAATAAAAACTACATTTATCAATAAGTACCAATAGGAGTACATGCACACGGAGTCATCTGTGATTATTGTATCTTTATGTCATAATTTATTCAATTAAGAATTTAAAATGCTATCTACTCGTCTTTCCATACCCAGACGTCTTCAAAATCTTCGCACCACCTTGTACTACCATAGTCTCGCGTATCCAGCCCTTCTTTTTCTAACTCATGTTTTCAAATAAAATAAAATATATATCTTTCTCACATTCCTGAACCGTTTCCCAACCATATTCGTTCAATCTCAACTGCAGAAATTCTCAGAGCATACTCGCCCTTTTCCAGGAGGATTCTCTCCCTGATTCCCCATCTCGGTCCTTTTCATTTTTTCCATTGCCTCTTCGGCTATCATTTCTCCCCCAGATCCAACGTTGCGCCCTCAAAGCTATCGAAACTCGGCCCAGTAGCTTCGATCAAGATACAAGCATTCTAAAATGAGCGAGTGTCTAAATCCTCCAACTTTGTCACAACATCTTGCAGAGACGGAGATAAACGGCGAGATCTGCGTAAGCTTCTGACCACTTTTGAATGGTTGATTTTCATTGCATCCATAATAGTAGAAGCTGTCGGTGAGGGATTGCAGATAGAGCTTCGTCTGCTACTGCTACGAGATGTAGCTGCAGACCCTGTCTCAGATGCACTGTGTGTTGATTTCAACAAAGTCTGATGGCGAGTCAGAGAGGGTCTTCGTTGACGTTCAGGCAATGGAATATCGAGATCCATTGCGTCTCCATCGTCATAGTAATCAGGAGTGGAATTGATCAATCCTGTTGGGACTTGAATGGAAGCAAGTGAAGTGTTTGCCACGATTAAGAATACTGCATCGTCGATGTCCATGGAATCTTCATCGTAAACTGGGTCAGAAGTAACAGTCGAAGGAGTATCAAGCATAGCATTTGGGGTTTGAATGCTAGCTGGTACGATTCCGATTTCAAGCCCAGTGCCTGGACTATTTTGTACGGGTTGAGGTGTGGGGAGACTCTCAGATGGTACATATTGATGGATAACGGGCGAAGAAAATGAGGCATCTCGGGCGCTGTTTCGTAAGCTACTAGGACCCTCAGAAAATGATCTTGATCTAGGCTTGGGCTGTGTAGATTGCGACCGACAGAAGCTCTCCCGTTCCCCATTTTGAGATACCTCGGATGTGGAGAAACGGCGGCTGGTGGTGTTGTCTCTGCTGATACTCACACCCCTAGATGTGGGTATGGAATAAGATCTCGAATTGACATATGTTGGTTGCGTAGCCCTGCAGGTCTGAATCTGAGCAGTTGAGTCCTTTGGTCGACGGAGAACCGATGGGTTGTAGATATTCTTTTTTCCTCCATGTTTAGAAGTAGAAGAAATCATGGTCATGTAGACACTCTTCGTAGGACGTGGTGTACGACCGCCAACTTTGGGTTGCGCCATGTTAGATGATGACTTTGGCTTCTGAGCCACGGCGTTGGAAGATTGTCTTGGCTTTTCCCGTGGCTCATGGAGGCGCTCTTTAGTACTGAGCAACTCCGAAGGGCTGCTTTGATTTGCAGATACCAGCCCGTTCTTATTGAGAAGTGGCAACCCAATAGCTGTTCTGAACCAATCGCTCACCAGATCCTCATCTGTGAATTTTCGAAGCTCACTCATCAAGCTCAATGATGGCGAAAACACCTTTTCCAACCACAGTTCGTTGACAATCAGCTGTAATCGACCAAGGTCAACTCCATACAGATCACAAGTTTTTTTCAGAAATTCTCTCCCGAACATTTCAAGTAGAGGCACACTTTCCAATCCCCAGCCGTAGTCATTTTGTTGTCTGCGCGTTAGCTTGGAGAAAGGAGTGCGGAACATGAGGACTACCGAAAGACGCTCGAAGTGTTGCGCAGGGTTGCGATGCAGTGGCAATAGAGATTTGAGTTGTAGGATGTCATCTCGTTTGGATGCTTCGAGTTGCTTTGGAGCTGCGATCTGTTTTGAAGCAAGAAGGTGCGCAATATGTTGCTCCCTGCTCTTTTTCTGTTTGAGAGTCTGTTCAGTATCGTGTCCAACATTGCTAGTTCTACTAGCCTGCCCCCATCTTGCTACCCAACCGCGCAGATCCATGTTGATGCTGGCCATGTTCAAAAGAGTCGAAGTTGCAGTTGATGGAAGGTTTTGGGTTTGGGTTGAAGTTGTTCTTGAAGAATTTGTGGGTGTAAGTTGATATCGAGAGTTGAGTCGATGAGGAAGTTTTGTGATTTGAAGTTAAGTTTTGACAAGAAGCCAATGAATGAGATGGCAAATTTTCGACAGCGGGGCAAGGCCTTAATATGTAAAAAGAGGCCAACAACAACAGATGCTAGTGTATGATTTGCTTATCAAATCCCCGTGTGCGTATATGTTTACGGCGCTGGTACGGTCAGGTGTGTATATCAGCAAGATATTTTCAGTGCAATATCTTTGTTGAAGTGAGGACTGTGTCAACGACTTGTGATCTCTTATTTCTCTCGATGATGGGAGGGATAGCAGGTTTATATGAGCACAATGCTGATATCTTTGCTACGGCGAGGACCGTATCATCTATTTGATGTTTCTCAAAGTCGCGAGCCATATGCTTGCATCAGCACAGTATTCTCAGAAAATATATGTGCTACGGTCAGGACCGTATCAACTACTTGATGCCTTTTATCTCGCTCAATATCGCGAACAATATCATGCTTATATTAGCACAACATCTTCAGTAGGATATTTTTGTTACGGCGAGGATCGTATCAACTATTCGATGTTTTTCCTTTCGCTCAACATTGAGAACGACAGCATGCTTATACTTTACCAAGACATTTTATCTACGGTGAAGACCGTATTCACCCCTAGAAGTGACTTATGATATTGATACGGTTGAATTGATTACCAATCTGCCATCATATCCAGGAAAGTGAATCTCCCGAAGTCGAGGCAACTACCTATTTCTAGCCCTAGTATTCACCGTACATAGACATTTCGGCTAATCCACTAGAACTTGGTAAGAGAAGATAGGCATTGTGCACATCATCCTACAAAAGGCTAAACAGACTGCATCAACAAGAAAACTTGATTAAAGACGACGTAGAACCTACTCTGTAGTTATCGATGACCGATATACCTGACGCTATGTTAGGATGAAATACCGTAAAAGTAGCAGTGAAAGGGTTTCAGAGCACGGTTTATAGTTATCGCTAATTTAATCGAGTCGAATATCATGTGAAAAGACCCAAGGTTGAGCAAGTTGATTACGTTGTAGCGATTTTGGTTGAGTGAAGCCTTGATTACAGAATCAAGGGTTATATTGATTGAAGGTCATGAAATCGAAGAGGTGCTGGCGAGGGGGTGCGCAGAGTGCGCTCTCCAAATTTCAGACCACGAGCGATATTGTGTTCTATATAGGGAGTCGAGCAATGTGAAAATGAAGCAATATTTATATAGATCTTACTACGAGACAAGCGTTCTCGCTAGATCACTACAGTACCTAGATAAACCTGTGACTTAGAATCATTCACTATTATCCATACGATAACCAAGTAGGTATCTAACAATCAGGAAGAAGGGAAGTTGTCCGATATTCAACCTATTGCTATTCTTTCCCATCTACTGTGAGATGTCCCATAGGATATAAACATAAACAACACGATTAAAGTCAGGAATAGCTTTTAGAATATTGAATCTGATAAAACCATTCATTACAGATCAAACCATCAGGCAACAAAATTCGAAGAAATTGATACTCATCCAACCTAACATAATCACTCTATCTACAATCTCCATCGTTCCCCTTTCCTCGTATATGTAAGCACAATCTCTCAATCTAATTCATCTCCTTCTCCCTCCACACTCTCCCTATCTCTCACATCTCACGTCACTCACTCACTCGACAAACAACACCAAAACTAACGCCAACCCCTCACACCACCAATGAACCACCCAACCTTCAAATTTGTAAATTCCGGCCATTACACAAACACACCACTTCGTCCACCCACTCTCCAAATCTCACCCATATATCTCTATCCTCCACTCCCCTCCCTCCCATAAACAATCACCTAATCACCTACCAAAACACAACATCTCAACATCTCCACAAACAAAATCAAAGGTTCTATCCAGAATTAGTCATCGAACCATTCAGTTTCCAATCAATTCAATGCCTCAAAATGAACTCAGATACAAAAACACAACATACTCATCACGCCACAAAATTCCTCAGATTACATCACATCACACATCACACCTTCCTCTCCCCCCCCTCTCAAAATCTCAACCAAAAAAAATTGACATAATATGTAAATTGAAAACAAGCCCCAAAGTTCTACATACATACATGCATACATACAAACAGCAAACGTCCACTATTAATCATTACCACGGGCATCATCAAAAAGAAATCAGGGTCAGAATAATCCTCTCCTTGCCTTTTCCCATTGCACTTTCTCCATATCTCCAATCTAGCCAATGTCAATCTAGCTAGGTAAATGCAAGTGAATACCAAACCCAAGCCAAAAACCCAAACTATGCGGGGACATGCATGCCAATTAAGTTCAAACCAATCCATGACATAACCTCCAAACGCCCGGGAAAATATCAATTAACCCTCAAAACTTCCGTTGGAAGTTTGACACCGTCAAAATCCTACTTGCCCAATGAATTTATGCAACGCTATTATGCATTTAAGTTATTTACCCCCAACTCCCGATACACCGTACAATATGATAATTGACCAAGACTCGCTCTAGCTTATCAATCCATTAAGCGAATCTTGAAACATGTCCTACCTCGACCATCAGATCAATACTCTGTTGATGGTACTTTCCGCTCCGCACACGAGAACAGATTTATATGATTATCGCCTCTCGCAGCACAAGCTAACATCATACGATGTGGATGGAAAGCCGTAGCTGAAATGGGTGATTGACGAGCTTGATGTAGGAAGCTCGAGTATGGCTCCACTCTTGAGAGTTCTCTGCCATCGAAATTGAAAACCTTGACTGTATGATTTCCAGTGCCACTACAGATAAAATTAGTATTCTTCAAGGAGAGAGAAAGGAAATAGACTTACACAGCAAATACTGGAAGATGTTCATGAGTGCTTGCAGTACGTAGAGTATCCTTTGTAGCCTGAATAACTCGTAGTGGTTTGTCCATTCGAATATCCCAAAGTTTAACTTTACCATTGCGACTGGCGGAGAGAAGCTCTCTTTGACCACCTCGTTGCATATGCACACTCTTGATCCATACCCTGTCAGATTCATCTTTCCATTTCTTAACCATAGCTTCTTGTGGCTTGTTTCTAGCGTCAAATACTCGTATGGCTCCGTCACCAAAACCTGCCACGAAAACATTACCTGTCATTTGATCAGAAGTCAAGGACGTGACACAAGAACCGGACCGAGCATTGATATCCACAACGCAAAGCTCTGGCGCCGCAGCCCACACTCTGATCACCTTTACATCACCGGCTACCAAGAGTTTTCCAGTAACTTGTTGCCAGTCAAATACCATACCAGAATTGACGTTACTTGGGACAAGATGCGTCAAAGCTCTCCATGCCGAAGCAACCTCAATCTTTTTGTCGGAGTCATAATTCCTATAAATTCGAATAACACCATCTGAAGACCCCGTCAACAAGAAGGCTTGGTCGTCCTCATTGATAAATTGGAGATCACTAATTCTGGAACCTTCCGGATTACCATTTGAAAATCGGCTAAGGCGGTCTTGCTTCTTCCAATCCCAAACACAAATCGTGTCGCGATCATCAGACACAGCAAGATGATCTTCAAATTGATGGAGAGTCATTTTTGTCGGTTGGCTAGAGTTATTGAAAAATCCCGTAGCGTGCGTCCATTTGCCATTACCGGCAATTTCTTTCTGGGGTTGAGTATCGCGTAGAATTGCTTCGTTCCTCGATCGTCGCCAAAGTCGTTCGTTATAATCAGTACTTCCAGGCTCCTCAGCTTCGTTTGGTTTCATCTGGGGTTCACGGAAGTATTCAATCGACCATTCTAAGAAAGTACTTTCCAATGGTATGGTACATGGTTCCGACAGGTTTCGAGCTTGAAAACCGCCTGATGTTGGCTCATTTGCTGCATGATATGTGCCAGGGGTCGATACGATATCATTCTGCTCCGGTGGAGAATTAAAGTCTGGCGGGAGACGTGATCGCGTTGGCAGAGAATTCCGATTTAGGCCAGGTGACTTCAAACCAGATCTTCCGGTTGAGTCAGGTGGTGTCACTTCGCCAGTAGAACCACCGAAAGGCAGGGTAAACAGGTAACTAGCTGTTCTTTTAAGTAAGCCTTGCTGACTCGACTGGGTGCTTGACAAGGTATCTTGTCGCGTTGGTGTACTGGGTCTTGTCTCCGACGTATGTGATTTAGACGCCTTTGGTTTTGCTGAAATTCGACTTATGTCATCAAACAGTTTACGGGCTGCGGCTCCAACTGGTGAGCGAAGGAGTGATATATGGAGAGCATCCACAATAATGGTTGCATTACGCTGAACTTCGGGATGTGGATCGATTGCCATTATTAGAACGTGTTTCCAAACCACAGCAAAAATGGAATTGTGAGACAAGCCCTGAGCTGTGGCTTTGATGGTACCATCCTTATTTCTATTATCCATACGAGCATAGTGCAATCCCATTTTGTGGTCATTCCCATCGTCGAGAGGGGGAGATTGTCTATACTCTCGTTCCTCCTGTAGCTGTTCGAATGCCACTACCCAAAACTTGCTCTCATATCGATGTATAAACTTAGAGAAATATACCAGCAGTTCTTTGCGGACCATGGCGTTTCCATCATTTGCTAGTTCTATGACGGTCCACGATATTGACTCCTCATTTCGAGCAACCTCATCTGTCAAGTCGGGAATTCCCAGAAAAGTTGTCATGGCGTATAACATGGCAGCTCTGACTTCGCAACATACATCGCGAACCAGACCGGATAATTTTGCAGGTGCATTCTCTCTGATACCCCGCCATTTTGCTTCAGGGAGATCATTCCAAAGCTGACTGATACATAGACACGCCCATTGTCGCAGAAGTGGGTTGTCTGCATTCTGCAAGTGTGTTAAACAGTAAGTCATGATATCTGTTTGGTTGCAGACATTTT